GCCCGGTGTGGCTCAGCGGTTAGGGGTGAACCCAGGAACCAAGAGGTCACAGGTCAGAGGTCACAGGTTTGATTCCTGGTCAGGGCTACATTCCCAGGTGGCAGGCTTGATCTCCAGTGACTTCCTGGTTCATAGGTCAATGTTCTAACACTGAGCCATGGTCTCTTTCCTCTCTCTCTCTTTTTAATAAGTTTTATTATTTTTTTATTATTATTTTAAAAAATATATACTTTATTGCCGAGGCCGGTTTGGTTCAGTGGATAAAGCGTCGGCCTGCGGACTGAAGGGTCCCGGGTTCGATTCCGGTCAAGGGCTTGTACCTTGGTGGCGGGCACATCCCCGGTGCGGGGTGTGCAGGAGGCAGCTGGTCGATGTATCTCTCTCATCGATGTTTCTAGCTCTCTATCCCTCTCCCTTCCTCTCTGTGAAAAATCAATAAAATATATTAAAAAAATATATACTTTATTGATTTTTCACAGAGAGGAAGGAAAAGGGATAAAGAGCCAGAAACATCGGCCAACGGTCTATCCACTGAGCCAAACCAGTTTTGGCTAAAAAAATAAAATAAATAAATATATATATATATATATATATATATATATATATATAATATATAGTTTATTGATATTTTACAGAGAGGAAAGGAGAGAGATAGAGAGCTAGAAACGTCGACACCGACCAGCTGCCTCTTGCACACCCCCTCCTGGGGATGTGCCCGCAACCAATGTATATGCCCTTGACCGGAATCGAACCCGGGACCTTTCAGTCCGCAGACCAACACTCTACTACTGAGCCACACCGGTTTTGGCTCTGACCTCATCTAGTAGCCCTGTCACCCTGACCCCACTCTGTGCTGGCCCACACCCATGGGCCTCTGCTGTCCCTCCACGGTGCTAGGCCTTGTGGGACTTTGCACGGGCCTGGCCCTCCACTCGGTCTCAGATGAAACATCACCTCCTCCGAGAAGTCCTCCATGACTACCCTACCGACAGCCTCAAGCCACCCCTCTCTCCTGCTCCTCTCACTGCAGGACTGAGAAACAGAACGTTGAAACGTAATACCCACATCCCCATGCCCACACGTCATACGCCAGTGCACACCCATGTAAAGGGCGCCCCCATCAGGAAAAACGACAGTGCCCGGCCCGCATGGTCGATCTGTGAACTGGAAGGTCACGGTTCTATTCCCGTTCCAGGCAGAGGCCCGGATTGCGGGCTCGGTCCCCGGTGTGTGTGTGGGGGAGAGGGTGCAGGAGGCAGCCGATGGATGGTTCTCTGTCCTCATGGACGTTTCCATCTTTCCCGCTCCCTTCCTCTCTGAAATAAAAAAAAGTACATTAAAAAGGAAAAAGCCACAGGCCGTCAGCAGCCTCCTCAGACACTCTCCCGTCTCTCTGCTCCCTTCTCCTCCCAGCTCACACTGGTTGTGGTATTACATACACATGGGAACATGCAGTGCACGCATGTTCGTGGCTGTGGCTGGTGGCGTGGCATGTGTCTGTGCGGGGTGGGGATTACAAGCAGAGGGGCCATGGTGGGGCCACTTGTCTGTGTTTTATTTTATTTTTATTATATATATGCACACACACACACATATATATATATTTATATTTATTGATTTTTTACAGAGAGGAAGAGAGAGGGATAGACAGTTAGAAACATCGATCAGCTGCCTCTTGCACACTCCCCACTGGGGATGTGCCCGCAACCAAGGTACATGCCCTTGACCGGAATCGAACCTGGGACCTTTCAGTCCGCAGGCCGACGCTCTATCCACTGAGCCAAACTGGTTTGGCAGTGTTTTATTTTATTTTATTTTTTAAAAAATATTTTATTGATTTTTTACAGAGAGGAAGGGGAGGGATAGAGAGCTAGAAACGTCGATGAGAGAGAAACATTGACCAGCTGCCTCTTGCACACCCCCTACCGGAGATGTGCCCGCAGCCAAGGTACATGCCCTTGACCGGAATCCAACCGGGGACCTTTCAGTCCGCAGGCCGACGCTCTACCACTGAGCCAAACCGGTTTCGGCGCAGTGTTTTAAATATACCAAGTGGCCAGGTTAGTATGATCTCTGAACGCCCACTCAGTGTGTGTGTGTGTTTTAGTGTGTGTGTGTGTGTGTGTGTGTGTGTGTGTGTGTGTAAAATATATATTAGAGGCCTGGTGCATGAATTCGTACATGGGTGGGGTCCAGCCGGCCTGTCTGCAGCCTGCCTGCTGGTCGAACTTCTGGTCGAGGGGACTATTTGCATATGAGCCTTTTATTCTATAGGATGTACACTGAGTGTACAGATTCTTATGCGTTCAGAGATCATCATCATCTGGCCACTCCGTGTATATCTTTATTGATTTCAGAGAGGAAGGGAGAGGGAAAGGAAAGGTAGAGAGAGGAACATCCAGGATGAGAGAGAATCACGGATCAGCTGCCTCCTGCACGCCCCCCACTGGCCATCGAGCCTGCAACCCGGGCCTGTGCCCTTGACCGGGAATCGAACCCTGACCTCCTGGTTCCTAGGGGGACGCTCAACCCCTGAGCCACACTGGCCCTGCCTGCCAGCGTCTTCCATCAGAGGGAGACCAGGATGAGGGCCAGGAGCCAGTGGAGACCACGGAAAGAGAGGGATCCCCCCGGGAGGTGAGAGGGGGCGACAGGACCGGGAGCCCTGGTGGAAAGCATTTGTGTCTGTGTCTGGCGGGTAGGTGGGTCCCGTCCAGAAGTCAGGGACCACCTGTGGCTGCCACGTAGGGATGGATCCTGGGAGCAGGCGCGGAGGTGCATGTCCCCGGGTGTGGGGGCCAAGAGGGTCCCCATCCCTGGGCAGGAAGGCCAGCAGCCTGTCAGCCCCCGCTCCCCCCACCAGGAGGAGGAAGTGGCAGGCGGCTGGGTAGGGGCCAGGAATGGACATCCGTGAAGCCAGGAGGGGCTGGTCCATGGCGACTGGGACCCCCTGGGACTCCCGGTGGCGGGAGAGGAAGATGAGTGGAATAGAAGAAGAAGAGGAAGAAGAAGAAGAGGAAGAGGAGGAGGAGGAGTAGGAGATCAGAGATCTTCATCATTTGGCCACTCCGTTTATATCTTTATTGATTTCAGAGAGCAGGAGGAGGAGGAGGAGGAGGGGGAGGAGGAGGAGGAAGAAGGAGAAGAAGAAGAGGAAGAAGAAGAAGAAGAGGAGGAGGAGGAGGAAGAAGAGGAAGAAGAGGAAGAAGAAGAAGAAGAAGAAGAAGAAGAAGAAGAAGAAGAAGAAGAAGAAGAAGAAGAGGAAGAAGAGGAAGAAGAGGAAGAAGAAGAAGAAGAAGAAGAAGAAGAAGAAGAAGAAGAAGAAGAAGAAGAAGAAGAAGAGGAAGAAGAGGAAGAAGAGGAAGAAGAGAGGAAGAAGAGGAAGAAGAGGAAGAAGAGGAAGAAGAGGAAGAAGAGGAAGAAGAAGAGGAAGAAGAGGAAGAAGAGGAAGAAGAGGAAGAAGAAGAAGAAGAAGAGGAAGAAGAGAGGAAGAAGAGGAAGAAGAGGAAGAAGAGGAAGAAGAGGAAGAAGAGGAAGAAGAGGAAGAAGAAGAGGAAGAAGAGGAAGAAGAGGAAGAAGAAGAAGAGGAAGAAGAGGAAGAAGAGGAAGAAGAGGAAGAGGAGGAAGAGGAAGAAGAGGAAGAAGAGGAAGAAGAAGAAGAAGAAGAAGAAGAAGAAGAAGAAGAAGAAGAAGAAGAAGAAGAGGAAGAAGAAGAAGAAGAAGAAGAAGAAGAAGAAGAAGAAGAAGAAGAAGAAGAAGAAGAAGAAGAAGAAGAAGAAGAAGAAGAAGAAGAAGAAGAAGAATTATTAGAATTCAGAGAAGGGGCGCGGGAAGACAGCCGGTCCGGCCTGGGAGGGAGGGGGCGGGCGTCTGCTCCCCGGATCTCAGAGGCAGGGCTGCTGCGCCGCCCGCCTGATGGGTAAGACGGTGAAAGGCCGCACGGAGGAGGGCCAGGCCGAGCCTCCGGTCCCCGGGGACCAGCAGGGCGTGGGGTGGCGCTTCCAGGAACGCGGGGAGGCGCGGGGGACACCGGACAATGAGGAAGTCTGGGAGCCGCGGGCGGGCAGGGCCGGGCAAAGGCCAGGGCGGCCCTGCTGACTGACCACAGGGGTCCCCGTCTGGAGGAAGAACAGGGGGACACGGAGGGTCCCCCTTAGCAGGGCAGGGGGTGCAGGGGGTGCAGGGGGTCCCTAACAGCCTGGAGGGGCCGGGCCAGCGGGAGCCCAGATGGTGGAGGGTCCCAGGCAGAGGCTGGCCTGGCCTGTGAGGGTTGCGGTTGGCTGGACTCCAGGCTCCGGGGGGGCAGGAGGGGGGTTACTGAGAGTCTGTGGGCGCAGGCTTAGCTCCAAGCAGACAGTCAGGAATGGGGGGCCCCCCACGCATGGAAAAAGGGCTGATCCCTGGAGAATGGGGGTGAGGGGGGGGAGGGACGCCCTCTCTCTGGAGCTGGCCTTGGAGCAGAATCACCTTGGGACCCTGGGACCCCCTTCGGCCGCCCCCCACCCCCCTTTCCCAGGAGGGACAGGCCTCCCAAGGGCGCATGCACCCCAAGAGCGCCTCCTGCTGCCCAGCTTGGGGAATCGGCGGGAATTCCGGAAATTCCAGATGCTTTTTTTTGGGGGGGGGGGGGTTCCCGACCCGGGACGGCCCGCTCCGAGCCGCCGCCAGAGGGCGCGCTGGGTCCGCGGTGCTGGGAGCGGCGGAGCGCAGCCCCCGGAGCCGGGGGAGGCCGGCCGGGAGGGGGGAGTCGGGCCGGCGGGGGCGGCCCCGCGGGCGGGGCGGGCCGGGGCGGGGCCCTCCCCTCCTTTCTTCCTTCTCCTCCCCTCCCTCCTTCCCCCCTTCGCTCTTTCGCCCCCTTCTCGCTCCCAGGGCTGCTCGGAGCCTCGGCGGCGGCGGCCAGGGGGCGCGCTCCGCCGCCTCTTTGTTGGGGCCGGACCGGGAGCCGCGAGCGCGGGGAAGCCGGGCCGGTCCGACCCGGAGGAGCCGGGACCCCGCGGAGCATGGCCCGCCCCGGGCCCCGCGCCCCCGGCCGCCCCCTCCTCCTGCTGCTGCTGTGCGCGCTGGCGCCCGGCGCCCCCCACGCCTCGCCAGGTGGGTGCCCCCCGCTGCCCGCACCCCCGCCTCCCGGGGGTGAGGTTCCGGGCCGGGGTCCTGGGGGCGCGGGGGGCCCTGCAGCCGCCATCGGCCTTGCCCGTGGCCGGGAAGGGGCCCCCGTTGCGCTCGGGGCGCCCGGTCCCCGCTCCCGGGGCGCAGCCGCGCGCGGCCCCCGGTCCGAGGGGCTGGACGGAGCGCCGTCTGCGCGCGGAGGACCCGGCTCCTCGGTGTGCAAAGCGGGGTGCGGGGCGCTCCGGGGGCCCCCTCTACCCCGACCGGCCGCCCCGACTCCCCCGACCCGCCCCGGGCCCTGGGCGCGGGGTCCGGCCGCGCGCCGCCCGCACTTCCTGCCGCTCCCCGGCCGGGAGGCTCCGGGGGGACTCCGGGGAGCAGCCGGCCTGGGGGGGGGGGCAGGAGCCGGGGTGTGGGGGTCCCCGCTTCTGTGCTCCGGCAGCTCTTGGTCCGATGGGGCCGCGGGGACCCCGGGCGGGGACCCCGGGCGGGAGGGGGGGTGCCCCAGGCTGCGGGGCTGGAGGAGACTTGAACTTGGGGGGACGGTGGGGAGGGGGGGCGCTGGGTGAGGCCTGATCCCGGTGCAGCGATTGAGGGGGGTCCCCAATGGGGAGCGGGTGAGGGGGTCCCCGAGGAGAGCAGCACTGCTGCAGCGAGCTTGGTGCGCCGTGGAGAGGGGTCCCCCGGGCTTGGGGACCCCCCCGCCCCCCGTTTGTGCCTTCTCGCACCCCGCCGAGCAGGTTGGGGGAGGTCCGCGATGGGACGAGGGGACGGGTTCCAGGGGAGGGACCTGCAGGATCCCCCTGGGGCAGCAGGAATGTGGTTTTGGGGTTTGGGGGTGGGGGCTGGGGGGCTGCCCCTGAGCCTGAACTTGAACTTGGGTCCCTGGCAGCTGCAGGGAGAATGGGGGGGAGGGGGGCTGAAACCGGTGTGGCTCAGTGGATAGAGCATCGGCCTGCGGACTGAAGGGTCCCGGGTTTGATTCCGGTCAAGGGCATGGACCTTGGTTGCGGGCACATCCCCAGTGGGGGGGGGGGGGGTGCAGGAGGCAGCTGGTTGATATTTCTCTCTCATCGATGTTTCTAGCTCTCTATCCCTCTCTCTCCCTTCCTCTCTGTGGAAAATCAATAAAATATATGTATTTTTTAAAATGGGGGGAGGGCGTCCCCTGGGATCAGAGCCTCCGCCACTCCCGCTGCAGCCCCGACCTCCCTCCAGGCGTGTGGCCACCCCCCTCCTGCCCAGTGGGGGCCGGGGCATCTGCCTCTGGGGTGCCCGGGGGGAGGGAGGGAGAAGGGACCGCGGGGTGACTGCCCGAGTGGCTGTTTCGTTTTTTATTTATTTTTATTTTATTGATTTTTTACAGAGAGGAAGGAGAGGGATAGAGTTAGAAACATCGATGAGAGAGAATCATCGATCAGCTGCCTCTTGCACGCCCCCTATTGGGGTTGTGCCTGCAACCACGGTACATGCCCTTGACCGGAATCGAACCCGGGACCCTTCAATCCGCAGGCCTATGCTCTATCCACTGAGCCAAACCGGTTTCGGCTGGCTGTTACTTTTAATAACGGGCCAGGCTGGGCCAGGGAGATTAGGGAGTCCTTGGCGAGTCCTGCCCCTGGAGCTGCCCTGTGAGGCTGGCAGACACCCCGCCACCCCCCCGCCACCCCCCCTCTTCCCCCTCTTCCTCGCCCGCTCCCCCATCCAGAGGGGATGGCCGGGTCTGGGATCCCACAGACAGGTGGCTGGGGCCTCCCCATCCGCTCACACTCAGGGGGCATGGAGCTGGGGAGACCCTGGCTGTGCCCACAGAATGCCACCCAGCCTGGGCACAGGCACTCCGAGGGTGCCTCCTGGGCTCACGTTTTTTTTTTTTTTTTTTTTTTTTAATCAATCTTTATTGTTCATATTATTACAAAGGTTCCTCATTTCTTCCCCCCTCCACCAGGTTCCCACCCCACCCTCCGTCCCCCCCCCCCATCCCCCATTGTCCTCATCCATAGGTGCAGTTTATGTTCACTCTCTTCTTCCCTCAATTTCCCCAATAGTAAATCCCTTTTCAGATAGTAAATCAGTTACTTAGCATTTTCTCATATCAATAATACCTCCACATGATGGGCTCCCGTTTTAAAAAAAAAAAAATTTATTGATTGTTTACAGAGAGGAAAAGAGACGGATAGAGAGCTAGAAACATCGATGAGAGAGAAACATCGACCAGCTGCCTCCTGCACGCCCCCTACTGGGGATGTGCCCGCAACCAAGGTCCATGCCCTTGACCGGAATCGAACCTGAGACCTTTCAGTCTGCGGGCCGACGCTCTATCCACTGTGCCACACCAGTTAGGGCGATCCCTTTGTTTTATAATCCTCACCCCAGGATAGTTTCCCATTATTATTAATTATTAAAGGCAAGGCCCTTTTTAAAAATGTATTTTTATTGATCTCAGAGAGGAAGGTAGAGAAACATCCACTGGGGTTCAAGCCCACAACCCAGGCATGTGCCCTTGATCGGAATCGAACCCGTGACCCTTCAGTCCACAGGCCGACGCTCTATCCACTGAACCACACCATCCAGGCCTCCACTGATGAATTTTAGAGAATGGAAGGGCAGGGGATATTCAGAGAGAGAAACATCCGTAAGAGAGAGACATACATCCAGGAGTTGCCTCCTGCACACGCCCTCACCAGGCCTGGGGATGGAGCCTGCAGCCCAGGTCTATGCCCTTGACCAGAATCGAACCCGGGACCCTTCTGTCCGCCGGCCGGCGCTCTATCCACTGAGCAACACGGGCCAGGGCTTGGGCTCACTTTTAGGAAAACGTGGCACTGGGGCCCAGCCATGCCCCAACCGAGATGCGGACTCGCACACAGGAGCCGTGTGTGTATATGACAACATGACCCAGGTCCCCCTGCCCCCCACGCACACACCTTGCTTATTTTTTTCTCTCTGACATGAGCTGTGGGTCCTTCTGTTTCCGGAAAGGCCACCCGGGCGTGTGTGGATTCCTGGCTTCATGCAGGAGAAATTTTACCACGTGAGCCCAGGGGACTAGGAGGAAACGCTTAGTAAAGCTGAAGACAGCTGAAACCGGTGTGGCTCAGTGGGTAGCGCGCCGGCCCGTGGACAGAAAGGTCCCAGGTTTCGATTCCGGTCAAGGGCATGGACCTTGGTTGCGGGCACATCCCCAGTGGGGGCTGTGCAGGAAGCAGCTGATGGATGTTTATCTCATCGATAAACATCTATAACTCTATCTCTCCCTTTCTGTGAAAAATCAATAAAATATATATTTTTAAAAAAGAGATGAAGACAGTAAAGCAAGAAAGGGCTCAGGCCCAGCAGGCATGGCTCCCTCTGTGGTTGAGCGTTGACCTCTGAACCAGGAGGTCACGGGTTCGATTCCCGGTGAAGGCACATGCCAGGGTTGTGGGCCGTTTGTCCCCATGGTGGTTTGACCCCTCTCCCTCCCCCCCCCCCCGCACCCCTGCATGCCCTCAGGGACATGCTGTGGCTGCAGGGGCGGGGGGCCTCCCCTTCGCCTCCCCCTGACCGTCCTCACCCCCAGGCCACACTCACTGAAGGGCCAGCTGGGCCCGAGGGGGATGACTCCGTGGGGAGCCCTCACCTTTGATCCTGGTGATGTCACCCTGCTTCTCCCTGCACAGAACCTGCTGCAGGTCCCGGACCCACCTGGCGCTGTTCTCCTTCCCTGGGGGGGAGGGAAGGTCTCAGCCCAGCCTGTGTGGTTCAGCGGTTAGGGGTCAACCCAGGAGCCAAGAGGTCGCAGGTTTGATTCCCGGTCAGGGCACATGCCCGGGTTGCAAGCTCGATCCCCAGTAAGGGGCGTGCAGGAGGCACCCGATCCAGGATTCTCTGTCATCATGGAGGTTTCCCTCTCTCTTTCCCTCTCCCTTCCTCTCTGAGATCCATTTTTAAAAACTCTATATTTAAATATTTTAGAAAAATAATATTTTATTGATTTTTAATAATTTTTTTTTATAGGGAAGAAGGAAAAGGGATAGAGAGTTAGAAACATCAGCTGCCTTGATCAGCTGCCTCCTGCACAGCTACTGGGGATGTGCCCGCAACCAAGGTCCATGCCCTTGACCAGAATCGAACCCAGGACCCTTTAGTCAGCAGGCTGGCGTTCTACCCACTGAGCCACACCGGTCAGGGCACAAGCCTGGGTTGTGAGCTCGATCCCCTGTAGGGGGCGTGCAGGAGGCAGCCGATGCAGGATTCCCTGAGGGTTTAGACCCCAGGGCCTGGGACGTGCAGGGTCAGCCCTCTGGGATCCTGCCGAGCCCTCCAGGTGCTGCCGAAGGGTAGCCGGATGGATGCGGAATTCCCCAGCTTCCCCGAGGCTCCGGGTCCAGCCCAGGACTTCCTGGTCCGGTTTCCTGGAGGGGCTGATTCAGTGGCTGATTCAGTGCCTCCGGGATGGGGACAGGAATGTGTTTTGAAGGAGTTCTTCCCGGCCGAAACCGGTTTGGCTCAGTGGGTAGAGCATCGGCCTGCGGACTGAAAGGTCCCGGGTTCGATTCTGGTCAAGGGCATGGACCTTGGTTGCGGGCACATTCCCAGTGGGGGGCTGTGCAGGACGCAGCTGATCAATGATTCTCTCTCATCGATGTTTCTAACTCTATCTCTCTCCCTTCCTCTCTGTAAAAAAAATCAATAAAATATAAAAGTTCTTCCTGGAGGCATCTGGAATCCCCTGGCCCTGCTGATCTGAAAGTCAGAGGTGGGGGCCGTATGCCCAGAGCCTCACAGCAGGAGCTGGCATCTCCACTTCCTTGAAAAAAATATCTGAAGGGCCCAGTTCACATGGCTCAGGGGTTGAGCATGGACCTGTGAACCGGGAGGTCAGGGTTCGATTCCCGGTCAGGGCACGTGCCAGGGTGGCGGGCTGGATCCCCAATAGGGGGCGTGCAGGAGGCATCGCATCAGTGATTCTCATCATTGATGTTTCTCTCTCTCTCCCTTCATCTCTGAAATCAATTAATATATATATATCAGAGACTCAATGCATGAATTTGTGCACCAGCTGGGTCCCTCAGCCTGGCCTGCAGAATCAGGCTGAAACCAGCTCTCTGACATCCCCCGAGGAGTCCCTGATTGTGCGAGGGTGCAGGCCGGGCTGAGAGACCCCCACCAGTGCACGATTGGGGCTGGGGAAGGACACGGGAGGTTGGCCAGCCGGGGAGGGACTGTGGGAGGGCTTCAGGGCGTGTCCGGCCAGTCTTGCTCAGTCTTGATTGGCTGGACCCCAGCAGCAAGCTAACCTACTGGTCAGAGAGTCTGCCCCCTGGTGGTCAGTGCATGTCATAGCGAGTGGTTGAGCGGCCTTAGCATATTCTTAGCATATTATGCTTTGATTGGTTGAATGGCCGGCTGGATGACCAGACAAATTAGCATATTAGGCTTTTATTATATAGGATATATACTAGAGGATCGGTGCATGAAAATTCCTTCAGCCCGGCCTGCCTGCTCTCAGTCCGGGAGCCCTCAGGGGAAAGAGGCGACCTGGGGAGGCGACGCCCCCTTCACACCTCTGCTGCTGCCACTGCCGGCAGCGCCAGCCTCGGCCGGCCCTCGTTACCTGAGTCTTGGGTGGCCCTGGGCAGCTGGACAGCTGCTATCCGAGGCTGGTCTGCACCTCGGGCTGGCCCTGGGCGGCTGGGGGCCTGAGGGCAGGTCCAGCCACACCATACACCTGCCGCCTCCCCAACGGGGCTGAGAGGATTGGGCACTGCCACCTTTGTGATGGCGTGATGGTCAATTTGCATATTTGCTCTTTATTCAATAAGAAACCTGAAGGCTGGGGCTGGTGGGCAATGCAGGGCGTGGCGTCTCCTCAGTAGGAGTCACTCAACTGGTGTGTCCCAGGCACTCGGCTTGAGGTCTAGCAGGTGGCTGGGTCGGAGATGAGAGAACAATGTTTTTTGTTTTGTTTTTCAATATCTTTTCCCCCCCCTTTGATTTTAGAAAGGAAGGGAGAGGGAGAGAGAGAAACATCCATGATAAGAGAGACCATGGCCGAAACCGGTTTGGCACAGTGGATAGAGTGTCGGCCTGCGGACTGGAAGGTCTCAGATTCGATTCCGGTCAGGGGCATGTACCTTGGTTGCGGGCACATCCCCAGTAGGGGGTGTGCAGGAGACAGCTAGTGGATGCTGTCTCTCTCATCGATGTTTCTAGCTCTCTATCCCTTTCCCTTCCTCTCTGTAAGAAATCAATAAAATATATTTTTAAACAATATACATTTTATTGATTTCTTTTTTTTTTTTTACAGAAACCAGTTTGGTCCAGTGGATAGAGCATCAGCCTGCGGACTGAAGGGTCCCAGGTTCGATTCTGGTCAAGGGCATAGACCTTGGTTGCGGGCACATCCCCAGTGGGATGTGTGCAGGAGGCAGCTGATGGATGTTTTTCTCTCATTGATGTTTCTAGCTTTCTATCCCTCTCCCTTCCTCTCTGTAACAAAATCAATAATATATATATATATATATATATATATATATATATATATATATATATATTAAAAAGAGAGAGAAAGGGAGAGAGAGACCATGGATGGGTTGCCTGCTGCACGCCCCACACTGGGGATGGATCTAGCAACCCTGACGGGGAATCGAACCCTGACCTCCTGGTTCACGGTCAAAGCCCCACCAGGGAGCCACGCTGGCCTGGCTGGGCAGGGGTGGGCCTCAGGGGCCCTTTGAGCAGCAGGAGGCCAGGATCGGATGGGTGCGCGGGGCAGAGAAGGAGCAGGAGATCTGCGCCCCAGGGCCCGCAGCTGGCGGCACCCAGCTGGCTGCAGGGGGCACCCTGGGGAGGGATCTCCGCCCTGCGGCCCCTCATCGCCCGGTTCTCTCCCCTGGTTCTCTCCCCGCAGGGCCCAGCACGGCGGCCCGCCCGGAGGCGGCGGCCCCGGAGGCGGCCCCGGAGGCGGAGGCGGCGCGGGACATCGTGCACCCGGTGCGCGTGGACGCGGGCGGCGCCTTCCTGTCCTACGAGCTGTGGCCGCGCGCGCTGCGCAAACGGACCGCCGAGGCCGGGCCCGGCGTGGCCTTCGCCCACTACCAGCTGCGCCTCCGCGGCCAGGACCTGCGGCTGCACCTGGGCGCCGCCCCCGACCTGCTGGCGCCCGGCTTCGTGAGCGAGACCCGCCGGCCGGGCGGCCTGGGCGCCGCGCGCATCCGCCGGCCCGCGCCGCCCGCCTGCCACCTGCAGGGCCGCGTGCAGGGCGCCGCGCAGGGGGGCGGCCCCGCGGCCATCAGCGCCTGCGACGGCCTGGCGAGTGCCCGCCCCCGTCACCCGGGCCCCGGGGGTGGCGCTTGTTAAATGGGAATGGACACGCAGGGCACCACCCCACCCCGGCCGGTGTGTGCAGTGGTTAGAGCGCCCCTCCCAGCCGGTGTGGCGCAGTGGTTAGAACGCCCCCCCCCGGCTGGTGTGGGGCAGTGGTTAGAGCGCCCCCGGTCGGTGTGGTGCAGTGGTTAGAACACCCCAGGCCGGTGTGGTGCAGTGGTCAGAGCGCCCCCGGCCGGTGTGGTGCAGTGGTTTGAACACCCCCGGCCGGTGTGGGGCAGTGGTTAGAGCGCCAACGGCCGGTGTGGTGCAGTGGTTAGAGCGCTCCCGGCCGGTGTGGTGCAGTGGTTAGAACACCCCAGGCCGGTGTGGTGCAGTGGTTAGAGCGCCCCCCGGCCGGTGTGGTGCAGTGGTTAGAGCGCCCCAGGCCTGTGTGTGCAGTGGTTAGAGCGTCCCCGGCCGGTGTGGTGCAGTGGTTAGAACACCCCAGGCCGGTGTGGTGCAGTGGTTAGAGCGCCCTCGGCCGGTGTGGTGCAGTGGTTTGAACACCCCCGGCCGGTGTGGGGCAGTGGTTAGAGCGCCCCCGGCCGGTGTGGTGCAGTGGTTAGAGCGCCCCAGGCCTGTGTGTGCAGTGGTTAGAGCGTCCCGGGCCGGTGTGGGGCAGTGGTTAGAGCGCCCCCCCCCGGCCGGTGTTGCGCAGTGGTTAGAGCGCCCCCCCGGCCGGTGTGGCGCAGTGGTTAGAGCGCCGGCCTCTGGACAGAAGGGTCCCCGGTTCGATCCCGGTCAAGGGCATGTGCCCTTGGTTGCAGGCACATCCCCAGTGTGGGGGTGAGGGGAGTTGGGGGGATGCAGGGGGCGGCTGATGGATGTTTCTAGCCCTTTATCCCTCTGCCTTCCTCTCTGTAAAATATCAATAAAATATATTCAAAAGAGAGAGACAGAGAGAGAGAGAAAACGCAGGCCCTTCTGACCATTGCACCAGCCTCTGGACTGAAGGGTCCCCGGTTCGATCCCAGTCAAGGGCAGGGACATTGGTTGCGGGCACATCCCTGGTGGGGGGTGTGCAAGAGGCAGCTGATCAATGTTTCTAAACTCTCCCTCTCCTGTCCTCTCTGTAAAAAATCAATAAAATATATTTGAGAGAGAGAGAGAGGGAGATAGAGAGAGAGAGAGAGAGAAAACGCAGGCCCTTCTTGCCAATGTAGCTCAATGGTTAGAGCACCATCCTCTGGACGGAAGGGTCCCGGGTTCGATTCCGGGCAAGGGCATGTGCCCTTGGTTGCGGCACATCCCTAGTGGGTCGTGTGCAGGAGGCAGCTGATGGATGTTTCTAGCTCTCCCTCTCTCTTCCTCTCTGTAAAATATCAATACAATTTTTTTAAAAAAACATTTTGATATATTTTTATTGATTTTGTACAGAGAGGAAGGGAGAGGGATAGAAAGTTAGAAACATCGATGAGAGAGAGTCATCGATCAGCTGCCTCTTGCACACCCGCTACTGGGGATGTGCCCGCAACCGAGGTACATGCCCTTGACCGAAATCGAACCCGGGACCCTTCAGTCCCCAAGCCGACACTCTATCCATTGAGCCAAACCCATCTTGGCTTTTTTTTTTTTTGAGAGAGAAAACTCGGGCCCTCCTGGGGTTCTTTCCCAGGATCTGGGTCCCCAAACTTTGCCTGGAGCCGGAATCGCCCGCAGGCTGCGTTCAAATGGGATCCCTTAGATGAGGTCCAAGTGGGCCCCGAAACTTGCATTTTTTTATTTTATTTTAAAAATATATTTTATTGATTTTTTTACAGAGAGGAAGAGAGAGGGATAGAGAGTTAGAAACATCGATGAGAGAGAAACATCGATCAGCTGCCCCCTGCACACCCTCCAGTGGGGATGTGCCCACAACCAAGGTCCATACCTTTGACTGGAATCGAACCTGGGACCCTTCTGTCCACTGAGCCACACCGGCCGGGGCCCCTGTTATTTGGGTGTGAGTCTCCCTCGGGGGATAGGACGTCCCCCTGGCCGGAAGCGTCGCCGGAGGAGGCCAGGGCCCGGCTACCGGGTCAGCCTGGCTGCCTGTGTGACCTTGACCTTGACCTCCTCTCCAGAAAGGTGTGTTCCGGCTTAACGACCAGGACTACTTCATCGAGCCCCTGCGAGACGCCCAGGCCGAGCCCGGCAGCGCCCAGCCCCACGTGGTGTACCAGCGTCCGGCGTCCCAGGGGCAGGCTGAGCCGGGCAGCCCCGGGACCGGGGGCACCTGCGGGGTGCAAGGTAAGCCCTGTGCCTCCCCCTTCGGGGCGGGGGCTGTGGGTGGGGCACGGAGGTCCTTTCTTATTTTATTTTATTTATTATTTATTATTTTTATTTATTTTATTTTTAAATTTTTTTATTTTTATTTTTATTTTTAATTTTTATTTTATTTTATTGATTTTGTACAGAGAGGAAGGAAGAGAGATAGAGAGCTAGAAACATCGATGAGAGAGAGTCATCGATCAGGTGCCTCTTGCACACCCCCTACTGGGGATATGCCCGCAACCAAGGTACATGCCCTTGACCGGAATCGAACCCGGGACCTTTCAGTCCCCAAGCCGACGCTCTATCCATTGAGCCAAACCGGTCCTGGCTATTTATTATTTTTTAAAAAATATTTTATTGATTTTTTTACAGAGAGGAAGAGAGAGGGAGAGTGAGAAACATCGATGAGAGAGAACCATCCATCAGCTGCCTCCTGCACACCCCCCACTGGGGAACGTGCCCGCAACCAAGGTCCATGCCCTTGACCGGAATCGAACCCGGGACCTTTAAGTCCGTAGGCCGACGCTCTACCGCTGAGCCACACCGGTTTTGGTTAAATTTCATTTTTTCATTTTTCATTTTTTAATATATTTTTTATTGATTTCAGAGAGGCAGGGAGAGGGAAAACGTGATAGAAACATCAATGGTGAGAAAGAACCATTGATCGGCTGCCTCCCGCGAGTCCCCCACTTGGGGGTCAGGCCCACAACCTAGGCATGTGCCCTTGACCGGAATCGAACCCGGGACCTTTCAGTCCACAGGCCGACGCTCTATCCACTGAGCCACACCGGCTTCGGCCGATGTTTCTAACTTTCTATCCCTCTCTCTTCTTCTCTGTAAAAAATCAATGGGATCGATTAAAAAACAAAACAAAACAAACAAAAAAAACCTCTCGGGGGAGAGGCCCCTGAGACAGGGGCCCCTCTGACCGCCCCCCCCCCCTACTCTGCCCCGGGTGCCAGCGCCCCAGGAGCGGGCGTTCTGGCAGCGGGCGGAGGGCGCCCAGCCGAAGCGGCAGCGGCGGTACCAGAGCTCGGACAGCAGGGAGAAGTGGGTGGAGACGCTGCTGGTGGCCGACGCGGACATGGTGCGGCACCACGGCCAGCCGCAGGTGGAGAGCTACGTGCTGACCCTCATGAACATGGTGAGGGCCCGGGGGGCGGGGCCTGGGGCAAGGGGGCGGTGGGCGTGGGGAGGGAAGGCCGGTGGGCTGGCTTCTCAACAGGAGGAAGAGTCTGCAAGCGATGTATGTATTTATGTTACTTTTAATTCTTTTTATTTTTTATTTATTTTTTATATATATATTTTATTGACATTTTACAGAGAGGAGGAAGGGAGAGGGATAGAGAGCTAGAAATGCCGATGAGCGAGAAACATCGACCAGCTAGCTGCCTCTTGCACACCCCCTACTGGGGATGTGCCCGCAACCAAGGTCCATGCCCTTGACTGGAATCGAACCCGGGACCTTTCAGTCCGCAGACCGACGCTCTACCACTGAGCCAAACCGGTTTCGGCTATGTTATTTTTATTTTATTTTATTTTATTTTTTATTTTAAAAAAATATGTTTATATATTTTATATATATATATATATATATATATATATATATATATATATATATGTTTTTTTAAATATATTTTATTGATTTTGTACAGAGAGGAAGGGAGAGAGATAGTCAGAAACATCGATGAGAGAGAGTCATCTATCAGCTGCCTCTTGCACACCCCCTACTGGGGATATGCCCGCAACCGGGGTACATGCCCTTGACCGGAATTGAACCCGGGACCCTTCAGTCCCCAAGCCGACGCTCTATCCATTGAGCCAAACCGGCCTCGGCTTTATGTTATTTTTAAATATGTTTTACTAGAGGCCCGGTGTTGGAATTCGTGCACGGGGGTGTGTGTGTGTCCCTCAGCCCAGCCTGCATCCTCTCCAATCTGGGACCCCTCTAGGGATGTCCGAAGGCCCATGTAGGCCCGACCCCAGTAGGATCAGGTCCAGATGGGGCAGTCGGACATCCCCCTCACAATCCAGGATTGCTGGCTCCCAACTGCTCGGCTGCCTGCCGTCCTGATTGCCCCTAACTACTTCTCTGCCTGCCAGCCTGATCACCCCCTAACCACTCCCCTCCAGTCTGATTGATGTCTAACTGCTCCCCTGCCAGCCTGATTGTCCCTAACTGCCCTCCCCTGCAGGCCTGGTCCCTCCCAACTGCTCTCCCCTGAAGGCCTGGGTTCCCCCCAAACTGCCCTTCCCTGCAGGCCCCGTAACCCCCAATTTCTCTCCTCTGCCAGCCTGGTCACCCCTAACTGCCCTCCCCTGATGGCCTGATCGCCTACAACTACCCTCCCTTGAGGCCTGGTCCCTCCCAACTGCCCTCCCCTGCTGGCCATCTTGTCATGGCCATCTTGTGTCCATCTGGGGGCAGCCATCTTTGACCACATGGGGGCAGCTATCTGAATTGATGGTAAATTTGCATATTACTCTTTTTTTAGATTGGATTGATTTTTTTTACAGAGAGGAAGGGATAAGGAGAGAGTGAGAAACATCGATGAGAGAGAAACATCAATCAGCTGCCTCCTGCACTCCCCCCACAACCAAGGTCCATGCCCCTGACCGAGATCGAACCTGGGACCCTTCATTCCACAGGCTGACGCTCTGTCCACTGAGCCTCACCAATTAGGGCTCTTTATTAATTAAAAAAAATAAATTGTTGATTTGAGAGAGGAAGGGAGAGGGAGAAAGAGAAATCTCAATGAGAGAGAGAAGCACAGATCGGCTGCCTCCCGCACGCCCCCTACAGGGGATGGAGCCTGCAACTCTGGCCTGTGCCCTGACCGGGGATCGAACCCTGACCTCATGGCTTGTAGGTCGATGCTCCACCCCCTGAGCCACGTAGGCTGGGCTCAGGGAGCTTTAAATGAGCAGATGGGTCACCCTGGCTGGTGTGGCTCTGTGGATAGAGCCTCGGCCTGTGGACTGAAGGGTCCCAGGTTCAATTCCGGTCAAGGGCATGGACCTTGGTTGAGGGCACATCCCCATTGGGGGCGCGCAGGAGGCAGCTGATGGATGTTTCTCTGCCATTGATGCTTCTAACTCTCTGTCCCTATAAAAAACTCTCTATAAAAAAAATATATAAAACTCTATATAAAACTCTCTATAAAAAAAATCAATAAAATATATTTAAAAATAAATAAATAAGCGAGCAGATGGTTCTCCGGCCTATTCTCTGTACTTCAGACCTCTCACGGCTTTGGGGGTGACCTCTCTCCGGGGCTGAATGGGGACCCCTGATATAGGTTGGGGCAGAGGCCCGGGGGCTGCCCGGGTGTGAATGTGGGTGGGTGTGGGCGGTGGACGGTGGGCGGCTGCCCGTATCCTGGATTCGGGGTGACCTTGGACCCCCTCTGTCGAGCAGGTGGCTGGCATTTTCAAGAACCCCAGCATCGGGAACCCCATCCACATCACGGTTGTGCGCCTGATTGTGCTGCAAGACGAGGTGGTAAGAAGCAGAGGGTCCCCCCTACCGGTCCCGCTACTCCCCGTGGGGGGGAGGGGACGCCTGCGGGAGGAAGGGGTGGTCAGGCCGCTGCTGTCCTCCTTCTGTCCCCTCTGGGCCTGTGGGTACCCAAAAGGCTGTGGGTATGCAAAGGCCTGTGGGTATGCAAAGGCCTGTGAGTATGCAAAGGCCTGTGGGTATGCAAAGGCCTGTGGGTATGCAAAGGCTGGGGGTTTGCAAAGGCCTGTGGGTATGCAAAGGCCTGTGAGTATGCAAAGGCCTGTGGGTATGCAAAGGCCTGTGGGTATGCAAAGGGCTGGGGGTTTGCAAAGGCCTGTGAGTATGCAAACGCTGGGGTTTGCAAAGGCCTGTGAGTATGCAAAGGCCTGTGGGTATGCAAAGGCCTGTGGGTATGCAAAGGGCTGGGGGTTTGCAAAGGCCTGTGGGTATGCAAAGGGCTGTGAGTATGCAAAGGCCTGAGGGTATGCAAAGGCCTGTGGGTATGCAAAGGCCTGTGGGTATGCAAAGGCCTGTGGGTATGCAAAGGGCTGGGGTTTGCAAAGGCCTGTGGGTATGCAAAGGCCTGTGGGTATGCAAAGGCCTGTGGGTATGCAAAGGGCTGGGGGTTTGCAAAGGCCTGTGGGTATGCAAAGGGCTGGGGGTTTGCAATGGCCTGTGGGTATGCAAAGGCCTGTGGGTATGCAAAGGCCTGTGGGTATGCAAAGGGCTGGGGGTTTGCAAAGGCCTGTGGGTATGCAAAGGGCTGGGGGTTTGCAAAGGCCTGTGGGTATGCAAAGGCCTGTGGGTATGCAAAGGCCTGTGGGTATGCAAAGGGCTGGGGGTTTGCAAAGGCCTGTGGGTATGCAAAGGCCTGTGGGTATGCAAAGGCCTGTGGGTATGCAAAGGGCTGGGGGTATGCAAAGGCCTGTGGATATTCAAAGGCCCGTGGGTTTGCAAAGGCCTGTGGGTATGTAAGGGCCTGGCCACACCCCCTCCGTCCGCAGAGGGACATGATGGTCCAGCACGAGGCCCACAGCACCCTGAGCACCTTCTGCGAGTGGCAGAAGCGGCTCAACATGGAGGAGGACTCCCACCCGCTGCACCACGACATGGCTGTGCTGATCACCAGGTGCTGCTCGCCGGGGGCCGGGGGCCGGGGGTCACGGTGGGGGGCCCTCAGGGAGCCCAGCCTCGCTCTCTGGCGGGACTCAGGCGGATCTTTCCGTATGGAAATAGCGGTGGGTTTGTAACCGGGGGTTTGCGATTTTATCACATGAGCCCAGCTGCCAGTCTGTTCCCAGGCAGCATTTTCTTTTCTTTCTTCCTTTAAAAAATAAAATAAAAAAAAATATTTTATTGATTTGTTACAGAGAGGAAGGGAGAGGGACAGAGAGCTAGAAGCATCGATGAGAGAGAAACATCTATCAGCTGCCTCCTGCACACCCCCCATTGGGGATGTGCCCGCAACCAAGGTACATGCCCTTGACCGGAATCGAACCCGGGACCTTTCAGTCCCCAGGCCGACGCTCTATCCACTGAGCCAAACCGGTTTCGGCTTCTTCTTGTTTAAAAATTAATTTAAAAAAATATATATTTTATTGATTTTTCACAGAGAGGAAGAGAGAGGGATAGAGAGTTAGAAACATCGATGAGAGAGAAATATCGACCAGCTGCCTCCTGCACGCCCCCCACTGGGGATGTGCCCGCAACTAAGGTCCATGCCCTTGACCGGAATCGAACCTGGGACCCTTCAGTCCGCAGGCCGACGCTCTATCCATTGAGCCACACCGGTTTCGGCTCTTTTTTTAAAAGAAATATATATTTTTATTGATCTCAAAAAGAAAGGGAGAGGGAGATAGAAACATCCATGATGAGAGGGAATCATGGATTGGCTGCCTCCTGCACGCCCCCCACTGGGGACCGAGCCTACAACCCGGGCCTGTGCCCTGACCGGGAATCGAACCTGCGACCTCCTGGTTCCTAGGTAGACGCTCACCCCTGAGCCACGCCAGCCCCAGGGCGGGGAGGCATGCTTCTAGCTCCTTCCCTGGGGCCCCTGCCCGGCTCGGGGGCGGCCGGCGTGGGACCAGGCCAACCTGAGTTGCGTCTGTCTGTCTGTCAGGAAGGACCTGTGCACCTCCCGCAACCAGCCGTGTGAGACCTTGGGCCTGGCCCACGTGGGCGGCATCTGCCAGCCCCACCTCAGCTGCAGCATCAACGAGGACACCGGCCTGCCCACGGCCTACACCATGGCCCACGAGATCGGGCACAGGTACCCAGCTCCCCCACCGCCTCCTCCGATTGGGGGACAGCCCGGCCACTGGCCCGCGCATCCCAGGGAGGGTGCCTGGGCCGCACCCGGGCCTGCGGGTCCCCGTCCACGCCCACAGCCAGGCTGTTCCCCTGTGACACAGGAGGGGGCGCTCGGGGGGGCCTCGGCCTGGCCAGGAGCAGGCCTTGTTTGAGGGCTTGGGACAGGCCAGCCGTCCCCAGAGGACACTGCCTCAGAACTTGCATTTTTAAAAAAAATATATATTTTATTGATTTTTTTACAGAGAGGAAGGGAGAGGGAGAGAGAGTCAGAAACATCGATGAGAGAGAAACATCCATCAGCTGCCTCCTGCACACCCCCCACCGGGGATGTGCCCGCAACCAAGGTCCGTGCCCTTGATCGGAATCAAACCTGGGACTTTCAGTCCGCAGGCCGATGCGCTAGCCACTGAGCCACACCGGTTTCGGCAGGACTTGCATTTTTTTTTAAATATGTATATTTTATTGATTTTAGAGAGGAAGGGAGAGGGAGAGAGAGAGAGAAATATCTATGATGAGAAAGAATCATTGATTGGCTGCCTCTTGCACGCCCCCTACTGGGGGTTGAGCCTGCAACCTGGGCATGTGCCCTTGGCCGGAATCGAACCTGGGACCCTTCAGTCCCCAGGCTGACACTCTAGCCACTGAGCCACACCGGTTTCAGCAGGACTTGCTGGGGATCGAGCCTGCAACCTGGGCATGTGTCCTGATTGATTTCGGAGAGGAAGGGAGAGGGAACCGAACGGTGACCTCCTGGTTCTTGGTTGATGCTCAACCACGGAGCCCTGCCGACCCAGGCTCACCCACTTTCTTTTTTAAAATATATTTTATTGATTTTTTTTACAGAGAGGAAGGGAGAGGGATAGAGAGCTAGAAACATCGATGAGAGCCGAAACCAGTTTGGCTCAGTGGTAGAGCGTCTGTCTGCGGACTGAAGGGTCCCAGGTTCGATTCCGGTCAAGGGCATGGACCTTGGTTGCGGGCACATCCCCAGTGGGGGGTGTGCAGGAGGCAGCTGGTCGATGTTTCTCTCTCGTCGACGTTTCTAGCTCTCTATCCCTCTCCCTTCCTCTCTGTAAAAAATCAATAAAATATATTAAAAAAGAAGAAAAGAAACATCGATGAGAGAGAAACAGCAACCAGCTGCCCCCTGCACACCCCACACTGGGGATGTGCCCGCAACCAAGGTCCATGCCCTTGACCGGAATCGAACCCGGGACCCTTCCGTCCGCAGGCCGACGCTCTATCCACTGAGCCACACCGGCTTCGGCTCACCCACTTTCTAGAGCTCAGAGAGGGACAGTGACGTCCCTGAGGCCACACAGCCGTGGGGGGGCCTGCGCCGGGCCTGGGACCAGCATCGGGCCCCCTGCGGGCCTCTGGGGAGGGAAAGACGGTGGGGGTGGCTGGCGCCCGCCGCCCGCTCACCCTCCCCTGGCGCTGCCCTCTCTGCAGCCTGGGCATCCCGCACGACGGCGTGGGAAACCAGTGCCACCCGCAGGCTCCCCAGCTGTTCATCATGTCCCCGCAGCTGCTCTACAACTCCAGGCCCCTCAACTGGTCCCAGTGCAGCCGTGACTACATCACCCGCTTCCTCGAGTAAGTGCCCCTCACTCTCCCCCTCCCCCCGGGGCAGCGCCCGGGCCCCGAGGCCAGGGTCTGAGCAGGAGACGGGGACAGAGGTGCTGAGGTGCCGGGCAGAGGGACCCGCCGGGCCGTGCCCTCCTAGGACAGCCGAGGGGTCCGGCCGCCGGCCCCGCCCGGAGCCGATGGGGCAGAGCAGGGTGGCCTCGTCTGTGGGCGCCCATTCCAATCCCGCCCGCAGCGTGGGGGGCACAGGTCACCCACAAGCATCTGTTCTGCCCCCGCCCCTCCATAGGTGGCTGCTTACACTGGGAAGAGGACAGAGATGGCGTGGGAAGTAGGCAAAGGGTGCCAGGTGGGCAGTGCACAGGCAAGGTGGGCTGGGGGTTTGCAAAGGCCTGTGGGTATGCAAAGGGCTGGGGGTTTGCAAAGGCCTGTGGGTATGCAAAGGCCTGTGGGTTTGCAAAGGCCTGTGGGTATGCAAAGGCCTGTGGGTTTGCAAAGGCCTGTGGGTATGCAAAGGCCTGTGGGTATGCAAAGGCCTGTGGGTATGCAAAGGGCTGGTTGTTTGCAAAGGCCTGTGGGTATGCAAAGGGCTGGGGCTTTGCAAAGGCCTGTGGGTATGCAAAGGCCTGTGGGTATGCAAAGGACTGTGGGTATGCAAAGGCCTGTGGGTATGCAAAGAGCTGGGGCTTTGCAAAGGCCTGTGGGTATGCAAAGAGCTGGAGGTTCGCAAAGGCCTGTGGGTATGCAAAGGCCTGTGGGTTTGCAAAGGCCTGTGGGTATGCAAAGGGCTAGGGGTTTGCAAAGGCCTGTGAGTATGCAAAGGTGTGGGTATGCAAAGGGCTGTGAGTATGCAAAGGCCTGTGTGTATGCAAAGGGCTGGGTTTGCAAAGGCCTGTGGGTATGCAAAGGCCTGTGGGTATGCAAAGGGTTGAGGGTTTGCAAAGGCCTGTGGGTATGCAAAGAGCTGGAGGTTCGCAAAGGCCTGTGGGTATGCAAAGGGCTGGAGGTTCGCAAAGGCCTGTGGGTATGCACCCACGGTAGGAGAAGCAGCAGGGTCATGGGTCATGGAAGAGGCAGGAGGAGGGAGAGAGAATTCCTTCCCTGGACTCTGGCCCCGGCTCCTGCCTGCTGGGTCAGACCAGCCGCGCCCCTTCCCCCTGGGGCCGGAGCGCCCGGAGGCCGGGGGCTGTGGGTCTGGGATTCACATGGGGCCGCCGGGCTGCCACATGCTTAGCATTCAAGGCGGCGTCCGTCCATCCCAGCGAAAGGCCAGCGCTGATAAGGGACGGGGTCAGGGAGCAGCCCAGCCCGGCCCGCAGGGCAGAGCTGGACAGCCGGCGCCGAGGGCGTGTGTCTCTCCCGCCGCCCCCCATGGGGGCCAGAATGAGCTGGAGACTCCCACCATGCCCCGGGGCCCGCTCCCAGCTGCCTCCACCCAGGGCACTGCCCAGCACGCTGGCTCCTGGACAGACGGACGGACAGACCGGCCTCTGTGTCCGTCAGGGACAGGAATGCACGGGGGACTTGGCTCGGGGCCTGGCCGGGGGACGGGGAGGAGAGGGTGACGGCTGGGCCACCAGGCCTCTCAGAGCCTCGGCCGGGGGTGGAGACATGGGCCAGGGGGGGCCCTAGCCACCTCGCCATCTGGAGGGTCCGTCCGGGGGGCATCCCAAAGGCCAGCCTGTCCCCAAACCCCTCTGTCTTTTATTTTTATTATTTAAAAATATATAGATTTTATTGATTTTTTTACAGAGAGGAAGGGAGAGTTAGAAACATCGGTGAGAGAGAAACATCCATCAGCTGCCTCCTGCACACCCCCCACTGGGGATGTGCCCGCAACCAAGGTCCATACCCTTGAGCGGAATCAAACCTGGGACCCTTCAGTTCCGCAGGTCGACGCTCTATCCACTGAGCCACACCGGTTCCGGCTTATTTTATTTTTTTACATATATTTTTATTGATTTCAGAGAGAGAGAGAAAGATAGAAACATCCATGATGAGAGGGAATCCTGGATCGGCTGCCTCCTGCACGCACGCCCTCCTGCTGGGGATTGAGCCCGCAACCTGGGCCTGTGCCCTTGACCGGGAATGGAAGCCCGGACCCTTCAGTCTGCAGGCTGACGCTCTATCCACTGAGCCACACCGGCCGGGGCCCTCTGTCTTTCTTGGGGTTGTTCATCCTTTTCCAACTGATTTTTAGAGAGCGTGGTTGGGAGGGGGAGACAGAGAGAGAGGGAGAGAAACATCGACAGGAGAGAGACACTCCAATGTGGTGCCTCCCACTGGCCCCCGAGGGAGCCTGCAACCAGAGTTCGAACCCAGGACCCTTCTGTCCAAGGACTGATGATGCTCCAGCCACGGAGCCACGCCCTGGGTGTGGGTATGCAAAGGCTGGAAGCCTTCAAAGAGCCAGAGGGGCCGAAACCAGTGCAGCTCATTGGATAGAGCGTCGGTCTGCGGACTGAAAGCTCTCGGGTTCGATTCCGGTCCAGGGCATGGACCTTGGTTGCGGGCACGTCCCCGGTAGGGGGTGTGCAAGAGGCGGCTGGTCGATGTTTCTCTCACATCGACATTTCTAGCTCTCTGTCTCTCTCCCTTCCTCTCTGTACAAAATCAATAAAAAAATATATATTAAAAAAAAAAAAAGAATATAGGCTTTGAATCAACAGACAAAAAAACTTAAAAATAAAAATAAATGAAATAAAGCCAGTGGGAAAATATCCCCGGGGGAGGATTAAAACAGAAACAAAATAAATTGAAGACACTGGGGGCGTCCGGAGGAAGAGGGGGCTCTGGGTGGAGGGGTAGCTGGGCCGGGGGGGGGGGTGGGGGTGGGAGGAAGGGACGGGGTGCGGGGGGGGGGAGGAGCCGGCTTCTCAGGGGCATCGGAGAGCCGTCCCAAGTGCATGTTTCCTCCTCCGATGCATCCCATGACCATGACCATGACCATGACCATGACCCCAAAACTGGTGCTGGCGGCCGGGCAGAGGTGGGGGGATGCGTCGAGGTGGGGGGTGAGGTCTGTCCTCAGAGGGTGGTCAGCTCTGTACCCGCCTGAGTGTGGGAGCCAAGCCCTGTGTGCTCGGTCCCCACGTGGGGCCACCAGCCCGGCTATCACAGGAGCGAGGGCGGGGGGGCCCGGGGCAGGGCTGCCGGACGGTCCCAGGACCTCGGGGTGTGTGTGTGTGTGGCCGCGTGAGGCGCCGGCCTGGCCCGGAGCCCGTGGGAGGAAGGAAGGGCCGGCTGCTGCCGGTGTGACTCCCCCAAGTGGATGCTGCTATTTATACCCCGGTGGTGTGAGGTCACCGGGCGGCCTCAGGGTGGGGGGGCGGCCCCCCGAGGCCACACAGCAGCTGTAGCCGGGCACAGGGTGGCACTTCCGTGTCTATTTGCTAGAGGCCTGGTGCATGGCATCATTGCACTGTGTGTGTGTGTGTGCGTGTGTGTGTGTGTGTGGGGAGGCATCCCTCAGCCCAGCCTGCACCCTCTCACAGTCCGGGACCCCTCGGGCCTAAGCCGGCAGCCGGACATCCCCGAAGGGTCCTTCGCGCTGCCACGGAGGCGGAGGTGGGACCGGCTCGCTGCACCGGTCAGCTGTGAGCCCAGCAGTGAGCGTCTGCCCCCTGGTGGTCAACGTGCGTCATAGCGACCAGTCATTCTGCTGTTCAGTCTAGTTGCAAATTATTAGCCTTTTATTATATGGGGTGTATGTATGTGTTTATTTTTTTTTTTTATTTCCTTATTGTTAAATATATTTTATTCATTTTATACAGAGAGGAAGGGAGAGAGAGAGCCAGAAACATCGATGAGAGACAAACACCGATCAGCTGCCTCCTGCACACCCCCCACTGGGGATGTGCCCGCAACCAAGGTCCATGCTCTTGACCGGAATCGAACCTGGGACCCTTCAGTCCGCAGGCCGACGCTCTATCCACTGAGCCACACCGGTTTCGGCCCGAACTTCTGTTTGGGGTGCAGTGTTTGAGGCCAGGATGACGGGGGGACGGGGACAGCTGCCTCGAGAGCTGGCACACAGGGGTACCCGCAGCCTGGGCCTGAGGTCACAGCCTGACCCCGCCCCCCCGTGACCCTGTACCCCGGGCCCCCCTGGCACCCCGGAGCCAGGTTCTTGCAAAGAGGCTTAGGTCTCCCCCCATCTGGGCTACCGGGCACAAGGAGACAGGGGGGGAGAGGGGGGTCAGGCTGTGATGGGAGCTCTGGGGGTCCCTTGTGCCCCGGGCCGGCAGAGGGAGGCCTCTGGGACTGGGGCAGGGCCACCTGGGGGCTTAGCTGGGCAGAGGTTTGGGGGCGGGAGGGCTGGATCGGGGTGGGGGAGTGAGAAGGGCATTGCAGAAGCCTGGTGCTGGGCAGGGGCGGGGCGGGTGTGGGGTGAGTCGTTGGCCAGAAGGTGCGTGGGCCCCGGCCGGTGTGGCTCAGTGGATAGAGCGTCAGCCTGCGGACTGAAGGGTCCCGGGTTCGATTCCGGTCAAGGGCATGTACCGTGGTTGCGGGCACATCCCCAGTACGGGGTGTGCAGGAGGCAGCTGGTCAATGTTTCTCTCTCATGGATGTTTCTAACTCTCTGTTCCTCTCTATAAAAAATCAATTAAAAATATTTTAAAATATATATTATTTTATTGATTTTGTACAGAGAAGAAGGGAGAGATAGAGAGTTAGAAACATCGATGAGAGAGAGTCATTGATCAGCTGCCTCTTGCACGCCCCCCACAGGGGATGTGCCCGCAACCAAGGCACATGCCCTTGAACGGAATCGAACCCAGGACCTTTCAGTCCTCAAACCGACACTCTATCCACTGAGCCAAACCGGTTTCGGCAAAATCAATAAAATATTTTAAAAACGAAGAAGAAGAGGATGCGTGGTCAGGCTGTCCGGCCCTCGCCGCCCTGCCCGGGGCCCCCCGAGGCCTACCCCGGCCGGCCCCCCCCTCACCGGCCCTCCATCCCCGTCTTTCCGTCTCTGCAGCCACGGCTTCGGCACCTGCCTGGACGACCCGCCGGCCAGGGACGTCATCCCGCAGCCCGCCCTGCTGCCCGGGGCCCTGTACGACCTGAACCACCAGTGCCGCCTGCAGTACGGGGACAGCTCCACCCACTGCAGCGACCTGGGTGTGAGTGCGCAAGGGGGGGGGGGGGGCTCACCCTCCTGGTGCGGGCCGCCCGGCCGCCTGCTGGGAGGCCCGGTGAGGTCTCAGTGGTCAGAGATCCTGTTTGCCCCCAACTGCCCTCCCCTGCAGGCCTGGTCGCCCCAACTGCCCTCTCCTGCAGGCCTGGTCCCCCCAACTGCCCTCCCCTGCAGGCCTGGTCGCCCCTAACTGCCCTGCTCCTAACTGCCCTCCCCTGCAGGCCTGGTTGCCCCTAACTGCCCTCCCCAGCAGGCCTGGTTATCCCTAACTGCCTTTTCCTGCCTGCCTGGTCCCCCAACTGCCCTCCCCTGCAGGCCTGGTCGCCCCTAACTGCCCTGCTCCTAACTGCTCTCCCCTGCTGGCCTGGTCACTCCTAACTGCCCTTTCCTGCCTGCCTGGTTGCCCCTAACTGCCCTCCCCTGCAGGCCTGGTGCCTCCCAACTGCCCTCCCCTGCAGGCCTGGTCATCCTTAACTGCCCTCCCCTGCAGGCCTGGTCATCCTTAACTGCCCTCCCCTGCAGGCCTGGTCACCCCTAACTGCCCTCCCCTGCAGGCTTGATCACCCCCAAATGCCCTCCCTTGCAGCCCTGATGCCTCCCAACTGCCCTCCCCTGCTGGCCTGGTCCCTCCCAACTGCCCTCCCCTGCTGGCCGTCTTGTGGTGGCCATCTTGTGTCCACACGGGGGCAGGATCTTTGACCACATGGGGGCAGCCATCTTGTGTGTTGGAGTGACGGTCCATCTGCATATTACTCTTTTATTAGATAGGATTGATTTCAGAGAGGGAGGGAGGGAGAAGGAGAGAGTGAGAGAGAGAGGGAGAGGGGGAGGGAGAGGGAGGAGGAGGGGGAGAGAGAGGGAGGGAAGGGGAGGGGGAGGGAGGGGGAGGGAGGGGGAGGGGGAGGGTGAGGGTGAGAGGGAGAGGGGGAGAGGGAAAGAGTGAGAGAGAGAGGGGGAGGGGGAGAGGGAAAGAGTGAGAGAGAGAGGGGGAGGGAGAGGGGGAGGGAGAGGGAGAGGGAAAGTGGAAAGGAGAGGGGGAGGGGGAAGGAGAGGGAGGGGGAGAGGGAGAAAGAGGGGGGGAGGGAGAGGGGAGAGGGAGAGGCAGAGGGAGAGAGAGAGAGGGGGAGGGGAAGGGAGAGGGAGAGGCAGAGGGAGAGGAGAGGGGAAGGGAGAGGGTGAGAGGGAGAGGGAGAGGGGGAGGGGAAGGGGGAGGGGAAGAGAGATGAACATCGATGGGAGAGAGACACATCGATGGTGAACCTCAGAGGTGACCCAGCATCTAAGCTTCCGAGAAAGCAAAGGGGGCCCGAGGGTCCCATTGGCTTAGCCCTGCCAGGCGCCAGCCCCTGGGGCCGGGGACTCGGGGACACGGTGGGGGGCTCAGAGCGGGGCTCAGCGGCCCTCCCCTCTCTGCAGGACCCCTGCGGCGTGCTCTGGTGCTCCGAGCTGCTCAGCTGTCACACCAAGAAGGACCTGGTGGTGGACGGCACGCCCTGCGGGGACCAGAAGGTAGGGCGCCCGGTCCCACTGAGGGGGGCGGGAGGGGGGGCGGGAGAGGCCTGGCCGCCTGCTGTGTCCGTGCTGGGGGAGGGCGGTGTCAGCCCTGGTCCGCAGACCCTGACACCCACCTCCCGCCCTGGCCCGCCCCGGCCCGGCCCGGGGTGCAGGATGGAGACCCGTGGGGGCTTGACTCTGCTGGATTGTCTGCTCCGCTCCCGGTGGGGCCTGGGAGGGCACTCCCCCACTCCTTGGAGACCCCCCCCTTTTTTTTTTTAAATTGATTTCAGCCCTGGCCAGTGTGGCTCAATGGATAGAGCGTCGGCCAGATTTGATTCCGGTCAAGGGCATGTGCCTTGGTTGCGGGCACATCCCAGGTAGGGGGCGTGCAGGAGGCAGCTGATTGATGATTCTAACTCTATTCCTCTCCCTTCCTCTCTGTAAAAAAAAAAAAAAAATCAATAAAATATATCATATATATATATATGGTATATATTATTGATTTGTTACTTCCTCTCTGTAAAAAAAAATCAATAAAATATCATATATATATATATATGGTATATATTATTGATTTGTTACAGAGAGGAAGGGAGAGGAATAGAGTTAGAATCATCGATCAGCTGCCTCCTGCACGCCCCCTATCTGGGATGTACCCGCAACCAAGGCACATGCCCTTGACCGGAATCAAATCTGGCCGACGCTCTATCCACTGAGCCAAACCGGTTTATATATTTTTAAAAAAATAAAATATATATTTAAAAAAAAATTGATTGCAGAGAGGAAGGGAGAGAGAGAGAGTGAAACATCAGTGATGAGAGAGAATTACAGACAGGCTGCCTCCTGCACACCCCACACTGGGGATGGAGCCTGCAACCCGGGCCTGTGCCCTGACTGGGAATCGAACCCTGACCTCCTGGTTCAAGGTCGATGCTAACCCCTGAGCCACACCGGCCGGGCTGGCTCCTCCTCGGCCCCTCTCCAGGCCTCCCCGCCCCCCCTGTGCCTCCCCAGGGGAGCGGCAGGGCAGGGCGGGCGCCGGCCTGACCCCCGTGTGTCCCCGCAGTGGTGCCTGGGCGGGCAGTGCGTGTCGGCAGACCTGCAGCCCCAGGTGGTGGACGGCGGCTGGTCGGGCTGGAACGCCTGGTCCGCCTGCTCGCGGAGCTGCGGGGTGGGCGTGCAGAGCTCGGAGAGGCAGTGCACGGAGCCCGCGTGAGTGTGGGGTCCTGGGCCTGGGGCGGGGCGGGGCCGGGAGCGGGGACCGAGCCTCTGGTGGTCAGCAGTGTCCCCCCCCACCAACAGGGCCCAAAGCCAGAATTTCCAGCCACTGTCCTCGGGTCATTGGGTGTGTGTGTGTGTGTGTGTGTGTGTGTGTGTGTGTGTCCGTGTGTGTCCACTGCTGGCCCATTGCTCAGAGGGGCAGACTGAGGCCTGGGAGGGAAGGACGCACCCGCTGGCAGGAGAGGACAGTGCTCAAGCCCTTAAACCCGGACCTTAGATGGGTCAGGAGTCCCCCCCACACCGCCTTCCGGTGTGAGAGCCTGCTCACCCCTCCTCCGAACCCCATTTCCAGAGAAGCTGCTGATGGGGTTCCAGGAGTGCCCCCCCCTGGGAGGGGGGACCCTGAGACCCGGGCGCGAGACTGCCTGTCCCCGGGCCTGTTTCCCATCGGAGGGAGTGGTGAGGGGGGACCTCCTCCATAGGATTCTAGGGGTACGGGGGAGGGTAGAGTTCAGCGCCAGCCCCACCCAAGTCCCCCCGTGTGGCAAGGACTGGGGCCCACACCCCTGCCTCACCCTGGCCCCCTGTCTGGGCGGGGTTAGTGGCAGCTGCCTGGCCCAGGTATGTGCGTGTGTGCGTGCGTGTGTGTGTGTGTTCAGGGCGGGCTTCCTTCTGTGTGGGTGAGTCTCCCACGGGAGGGTCACGCCTCTAGCATGTCCCAGCGTCTCAACAGCCCCAACCCATTTCAAACTTTTTATTTTTTATTTTTTTTTTGAGAGAGATTTTTAAAAATATATTTTATTGATTTTCTACAGAGAGGAAGAGAGAGGGATAGAGAGTTAGAAACATCGATGAAAATCATCGACCAGCTGCCTCTTGCACACCCCCTACTGGGGATGTGCCCGTAACCCAGGTACATGCCCTTGACCAGAATCGAACCCGGGACCTTTCAGTCTGCAGGCCGAAGCTCTATCCACTGAGCTAAATCGGTCTTGGCTCATTTTATTTTTTTTTTTTTTTTTTTTTTTTTTATTTTTTTTTTTTTTTTTATTTAAATCAATCTTTATTGTTCATATTATTACAAAGGTTCCTCATTTCTTCCCCCCTCCACCAGGTTCCCACCCCACTCTCCGTCCCCCCCCCATCCCCCATTGTCCTCATCCATAGGTGCACAGTTTATGTTCAGTCTCTTCTTCCCTCCCTTTCCCCAATAGTAAATCCCTTTTCAGATAGTAAATCAGATACTTAGCATTTTCTCATATCTATAATACCTCCACATGCCCAATGATACACTTCACACAAAAGACATTTCCCACTAGGTCAACCAGCCTCATCCAGGCCCCACCCAAGGCACTCACAGATCAACACCCCAGTCCTAAACTAACTCAACACATCCAGATCTAAACCTTCATCACTTGATTCAGCAGACCCTCAAGTTCCCACGGAATTTTCCAGCCATGTCTGAGAAGCAGCCGTGGGGCAGGGGCAGGCAGGGAGCGAGCTGTTCTGGGCCTGGCTGCTCAGGGCCTGGCCTCTGTTGCTCTGGTTCATTCCACAACCAGCTGCTCCGGGTCTGGTCACTGCCGCTCCCGACCTAGTTGCTCTGGACTTGGCTGCTGCTGCTCCGGGCCTGGCCGCTCCCAGCCTGGCAGCCGCTGCTCCGGGCCTGGCCGCACCCGACCCGCCTGCTCCCCCGGGCCTGGCCGCTCCCAGCCTGGCAGCCGCTGCTCCGGGCCTGGCCGCACCAGCCCCGCCTGTTCCCCCGGGCCTGGCCGCTCCCAGCCTGGCAGCCGCTGCTCCGGGCCTGGCCGCACCCGACCCGCCTGCTCCCCCGGGCCTGGCCGCTCCCAGCCTGGCAGCCGCTGCTCCGGGCCTGGCCGCACCCGACCCGCCTGCTCCCACGGGCCTGGCCGCTCCCAGCCTGGCAGCCGCTGCTCCGGGCCTGGCCGCACCAGCCCCGCCTGCTCCCCCGGGCCTGGCCGCTCCCAGCCTGGCAGCCGCTGCTCCGGGCCTGGCCGCACCCGACCCGCCTGCTCCCCCGGGCCTGGCCGCTCCCAGCCTGGCAGCCGCTGCTCCGGGCCTGGCCGCACCCGACCCGCCTGCTCCCACGGGCCTGGCCGCTCCCAGCCTGGCAGCCGCTGCTCCGGGCCTGGCCGCACCAGCCCCGCCTGCTCCCCCGGGCCTGGCCGCTCCCAGCCTGGCAGCCGCTGCTCCGGGCCTGGCCGCACCCGACCCGGCTGCTCCCCCGGGCCTGGCCGCTCCCAGCCTGGCAGCCGCTGCTCCGGGCCTGGCCGCACCCGACCCGCCTGCTCCCCCGGGCCTGGCCGCTCCCAGCCTGGCAGCCGCTGCTCCGGGCCTGGCCGCACCAGCCCCGCCTGCTCCCCCGGGCCTGGCCGCTCCCAGCCTGGCAGCCGCTGCTCCGGGCCTGGCCGCACCCGACCCGGCTGCTCCCCCGGGCCTGGCCGCTCCCAGCCTGGCAGCCGCTGCTCCGGGCCTGGCCGCACCCGACCCGCCTGCTCCCCCGGGCCTGGCCGCTCCCAGCCTGGCAGCCGCTGCTCCGGGCCTGGCCGCACCAGCCCCGCCTGCTCCCCCGGGCCTGGCCGCTCCCAGCCTGGCAGCCGCTGCTCCGGGCCTGGCCGCACCCGACCCGGCTGCTCCCCCGGGCCTGGCCGCTCCCAGCCTGGCAGCCGCTGCTCCGGGCCTGGCCGCACCCGACCCGCCTGCTCCCCCGGGCCTGGCCGCTCCCAGCCTGGCAGCCGCTGCTCCGGGCCTGGCCGCACCAGCCCCGCCTGCTCCCCCGGGCCTGGCCGCTCCCAGCCTGGCAGCCGCTGCTCCGGGCCTGGCCGCACCCGACCCGGCTGCTCCCCCGGGCCTGGCCGCTCCCAGCCTGGCAGCCGCTGCTCCGGGCCTGGCCGCACCCAACCCGCCTGCTCCCCCGGGCCTGGCCGCTCCCAGCCTGGCAGCCGCTGCTCCGGGCCTGGCCGCACCAGCCCCGCCTGCTCCCCCGGGCCTGGCCGCTCCCAGCCTGGCAGCCGCTGCTCCGGGCCTGGCCGCACCCGACCCGCCTGCTCCCCCGGGCCTGGCCGCTCCCAGCCTGGCAGCCGCTGCTCCGGGCCTGGCCGCACCCGACCCGCCTGCTCCCACGGGCCTGGCCGCTCCCAGCCTGGCAGCCGCTGCTCCGGGCCTGGCCGCACCAGCCCCGCCTGCTCCCCCGGGCCTGGCCGCTCCCAGCCTGGCAGCCGCTGCTCCGGGCCTGGCCGCACCCGACCCGGCTGCTCCCCCGGGCCTGGCCGCTCCCAGCCTGGCAGCCGCTGCTCCGGGCCTGGCCGCACCCGACCCGCCTGCTCCCCCGGGCCTGGCCGCTCCCAGCCTGGCAGCTGCTGCTCCGGGCATGGCCGCACCTGACCTGACTGCTCTGGGCCCGGCTGCCCCGTGCCCGGCCGCTCCGAGCCTGGCCACTCCCGACCTGGATGCTCTGGGCTTGGCTACTGCTGTTCTGGGTCTGGCTGCTCCCACCCCGGCTGCTCTGGGCCCGGCTTCTTCGGGCCCGGCCACTCCGGGTCTGGGTGTTCCTGGACTGGCCACCCTGGGCTTGGCCGCCTCCGCCTCATGCCTGGCTGCCACTGCCCCAGGTCTGGCTACTCCAGTGCTGGCTGTTGATGCTCTGGTTCTGGCTGCTGTTGTTCTGGGGCCTGGCCGTTGCTGCTCCAGCTCTGGCTGCCACTGCCTTGTGCCTGGCCACTCTAGGCCTGGCCGTCGCTGTTCCAACATTCTGTCCTTTTTTTTTTCTTTTTAAAACGCATTTATGTTGCAATGTTGGCTGGTGAGTTGAGTTCTGACTTAGTCTTTGATTTTTCAAGATCTTCTTTGTATTCTTTCTTAAGTAATTTTACTATTTTTTGCTCTCACTTGATTTCTTCACATTGAGAACTTCTTTGGTTTCTTCCTCCTTGTCCTGGGAGCTCAGCAGGTTGGCCTGTGGCACCCCTTTGTTCTCTGCGGGCTCCTGTGCTGCTTCAGCCTGTTGCCGGGACGGCGCCGCCCAGGAAGCAGCCCCCGGCCTTGGCTCCATTGCCCGAGCTCAGTGGTCAAAGGCTCAGGGGCACCCACGCCCCCAGGGGCCTCGTGGCCCGCCTCCTTGCTGGTGCCCGGTTGGCTGGAGTCCGGCAGGGGCTTCTGCTCCCCTCCGCGTTCCCCCAGCCTAGAGCTTTTTTTTTCTCCTTCCCACTAGGGAAGTCCAGCATCAGAGTCAACAGATTGTCCTCTGCGCGCAGTTTGCGCGAGTCCCACAGACTGTCCTCTGTGCGCAGTTTGCGCGAGTCCCGGGGGCCCGGCCTTTCGCCGCTCTCCCGGGACTCCACCTCACAGCCCCGTCTCCCTCTGCCTGAGCCTGGGTCCCCAGGGATTGGCCCAGAACTGGGGTTCGGAGCAGTCCGGACTGAGGCTCAGCGCCGCCGGAGGCCTTGTTTCTTCCGGCTAGGGCAACCCAGCATCAGAGTCAACATTCAGTCCTCTGCGCGCATTGCGCGCGACTCCCAGGGCCCTGCCTTTCGCCGTTTTTCCGCCTCACGGCCCTGTCTCCTCCCGCCGGAGCCTGGGTCCCCAGGGTCTGGCCCATAACGGGCTCAGCGCTGCCGGGTTCGGGGGGGTTCAGCGCTGCCGGTTCGGGGGTTCAGCCCAGGCTGGGGGTTTTATTTCCTTCCTGCTAGGGAAGGAAAGGCGGCTCCCCGCCCTCTCCTCCTCTCCGGCTGCGACCTCTCCGTGCGCGCGTGCGGGCGGGCAGGCGCGCGCAGCATGTCTCCGTACCTTAGGCTTTTTTTCAGCTCCTCTGATTTTCTTTCTGGTTTTCTCTTTCCTTCTTGTTGTAGGAATTTCAGTCAGTCGACTACCTGTAGCTCTGGGCAATGTCCACTCTACATTTTAGTTGTATTCCATTGAAATTGTTGTGTGCTGCCGCGGCTAGATGTCTACCCGAGCAGCCATCTTGGATCCTCCTATCGGTCTTGGCTCATTTTAAACTTTTAAAAAATATACATTGAGTGGCCAGATGACGATGATCTCTGAACACATAGTAATCTGGCCACTCAGTGTGTGTGTACCTCTCTCTCTCTCTCTCTCTCTCTCTCTCTCTCTTTCTCTCTCTTTCTCTCTCTCTCTCTATATATATATCTGTCTATATCTATATATATATTAGCGGCCCGGTGCATGCATCCGTGCATGGGTGGGGTCTGGCCAGCCTGGCCTGGGGGAGGGGACATGGGCGGTTGGCCGGCCTGCCTGCTGGTCGGACTCCTGGTCAAGGGGACCATGTGCCTATGAGCCTTTTATTCTATAGGATAGACACAGAGTGGCCAGATGATTATGCGTCCAGAGATCATCATCATCTGGCCACTCCGTGTGTATTTTTATTGATTCAGAGAGGAAAGGAGAGAGAGATAGAAACATCCATGATGAGAAAGAATCATGGACTGGCTGCCTCCTGCATGCCCCCTACTGGGGATCAAGCCTGCAACCTAGGCATATGTCCTGATTGGGAATCGAACCCCGGACCCTTAAGTCCGAAGGCCAACACTTAAGCACTGAGCCAAATCTGCTAATGCAAAAATATCAATATAGTTTATCGCTTTTTTATAGAAAGGGAGAGGGACAGAGAGCTAGAAACATTGATGAGAGAGAATCATCGATCAGCTGCCTCCTACACACCCCCCACTGGGGATGTGCCCGCAACCCAGTACATGCCCTTGACCAGAATCGAACCTGGGACCCTTCAGTCCGCAGACCGACACTCTATCCACTGAGCAACACTGTCTACAGTCTGGCCTCTTCATTCTTTTATTTTTAAATATAATTTTATTGATTTTTTTTTTTTTTTTTTTTACAAAAAGGGAGAGGGATAGAAACATCGATGAGAGAGAATCATCGACCAGCTGCCTCCTGCACGCCCTCCACTGGGGTTGTGCCCGCAACCAAGGTGCATGCCCTTGACCGGAACCGAACCCAGGACCCTTGAGTTCCCAGGCTGAGCTTTATCCACTGGGCCACACCGCGAGGGTCCCAGCGCCACGCTATGGATGAGGAAGCCGGCCCGGAGAGGGCAGGAGACCTGCCCAGGGTCACACAGCGGCGGGGCCGGCAGGGGTCGGCGTGCGGGGTGGGCGGCAGGAGTCGGGGTGCGGGAGCTGAGCCCTGTCTGGGGTCCCACCCGCAGGCCCAGGAACAGGGGCCGGTTCTGCGTGGGCGAGCGGCGGCGCGTGCGGCTCTGCAACGTGCAGGGCTGCGCGCCGGGCAGCCCCTCCTTCCGCGCCGTCCAATGCGCCCAGTTCGACGCCACGCCCTACCGCGGCCGGCTGTACAAGTGGGTGCCGCAGCTGACTGACCGTGAGTCTGCCCGCACCCCGGGCTGCTCCCCCTGCACCCCCAAGCAGTGGGGTGCTCCCCTCCCTCCCCCCCGCCAGTGGGGTGCTCCCCCTCCCTCCCCCGACCAGTGGGGTGCTCCCCTCCCTGCCCCCACCAGTGGGGTGCTCCCCCTCCCTCCCCTCGCCAGTGGGTGCTCCACCTCCCTCCCCCCGCCACTGGGGTGCTCCCTCTCCCTCCCCCCCGCCAGTGGGTGCTCCCCCAGCCCTACCCCCCACCAGTGGGGTGCACCCCCTACCTCCTCCCCGCCAGTGGGGTGCTCCCCTCTCTCCCTCCGCCAGTGGGGTGCTCCCCCAGCCCTACCCCCCGCCAGTTGGGTGCTCCCCCTCCCTCCCCCCCGCCACTGGGGTGCTCCGTCTCCCTCCCTCCCCCCGCCAGTGGGTGCTCCCTCTCCCTCCCCCCGCCAGTGGGTGCTCCCGCTCCCTCCCCCCGCCAGTGGGTGCTCCCCCTCCCTCCCCCCGCCAGTGGGTGCTCCCTCTCCCTCCCCCCTCCAGTGGGTGCTCCCCTCCCTCCCCCCGCCAGTGGGTGCTCCCCCGGCCCCTCTGGATGGCAGGAGGGCCTCCGCAGTGAGGGCGGTGGAGGGCGCCTCCGGGCCCAGGACGCCGCCCGGGCCCTCACGGCTCCCGCCCTTGCGCCCCCCAGTGGCGCCCTGCGAGCTGCACTGCAAGCCGGAGGGCGAGGCCTTCAGCGAGCGCTTCCGGGACGCTGTGCTGGACGGCACGCCCTGCCACGAGGGCCGCCGCGGCAGCAGGGACGTCTGCATCGACGGCGTCTGCCAGGTGCGCCGGGGCCTCCCTCACCGCCCGCCCTCCCGGGGCCTCCCTCACCGCCCGCCCCGCCCCGGGCCTCCCTCACCCGCCCCCCGGGGCCTCCCTCACCCGCCCGCCCCGCCCCGGGCCTCCCTCACCCGCCCCCCGGGGCCTCCCTCACCCGCCCCCCCCCCCGGGGCCTCCCTCACCCGCCCCCCCCGGGGGCCTACCTCACCCGCCCGCCCCCCCGGGGGCCTCACTCACCCGCCCCCCCCCCCCCCCCCGCCTCCCTCACCCGCTTCCCCCCCCCCTCACCCGCCGCCCCGCCCCCTGGGAGGCCTCCCTCACCGCCCGCCCTGGGGGCCTCCCTCCCTCGTTCACCCCCTTGGGGCCTCCCTCACCCGCCCGCCCCGGGGGCCTCCCTCACCCGCCCGCCCCCTGGGAGGAGTTTCACTGGAGGCCACGCCCCTGGGGAAGTGGCACTATAGGCCACGCCCCCGGGAGGAGCATCACTGTAGGTCCCGCCCCCAGGAGAGTCTACTGTAGGCCCCACCCCTGGGAGGGGTCTCCCTCACCTGCCCTGCCCCTCCCCGAGGGTCACGTGAGGAAGGTCCCCCCCGCCATTGGTCCCACCCCATAAGAGGGTCATTACTGTAGGCCCCGCCCCCAGGAGAGTACTGTAGGCCCCGCCCCCCAGAGGGTCATTACTGTTGGCCCCGCCCTCTAGGAGAGTCTACTGTAGGGCCCGCCCCTGGGACGGTCCCCATCATAGGCCCATCCTCTAGGATGGTCTTACTGTAAACCATGCCCTATGGGAGGATCTCCCACCCTAGCCTGCCCCCAGGAGGGTCATTACTGTGGCCCCGCCCCCGGGAGGTGCCCCACGACAGGCCCCGCCCCTGGCGGACCTTCTTTCCCAGCCACGCCCCCTGGGCGGGTCTCCGCCGCCTGCCCCGCCCACAGCAGCCTCTGTGCTCCACTCCAAGCTGCGCGTTTCCGGTTCTGCCCTGACCCCGTGGATGCAGCCTCCCCCCCTCAAACCCTCTCAACCTGTCACCTCTCAGCAGAGGCCCCCACTCCTCCTGACTGACACCCTCACCACCTCCGCTTCCGTTTCTCGGCCCCCTCGCCCCCTGGGGGCTTCTCTTCCCGGAACCGCCAGGAACCGGGAGCCCAGGCTCGACCTCCTCTCAGCCATTGTCTTTTTAAAAATATATTTATTGATGAAAGAGAAACGTCCATCAGCTGCCTCCTGCACGCCCTCTCCTGGAGGGATGTGCCCACCACCAAGGTCCATGCCCTTGACCGGAATCGAACCCGGGACCCTTCAGTCCGTAGGCCGATGCTCTATCCACTGAGCCACACCAGCTAGGGCCCAGCCGCTGTCTTGCTGCTGCTTCTGAGGCCTGAGGCCTGGGCTCTGAGGCAGAGAGCAGCAGGGGGTGCGAACCCCAGGCCTGTGACCCCGATTCCTGTCCGCACGGATCACCCACGGAGGGCCAGCCCCCCTGCCCCCTGCACCTCCCCACTCCTTGCCCCACCTCTCATCTCCTGCGGCCTCCCAGCACGGATCCACCTGCCTCCCTGGTGCATGTGGGAGGAGACCAGGGCTAGGGGAGGGAGGGGGCAGAGGGGCCGCCCTCAGCAGCCCCGGGGCCTCCCCTCTGTCTTGCAGAACGTGGGCTGCGACTTCCAGATAAACTCTGGCGCCGCGGAGGACCGCTGCGGCGTGTGCAGGGGCAACGGCTCCACCTGCCACACCGTGAGCTGGGTCTTCCAGGAGCATGCGCCCCTCGGTATGGCCGGACCCGCGCCCCGCCCCCTCCGCCTGGGACGCTCGGCCCAGACCCAATGAGTGACCCGTCCCCCCAGGGCGTCCGGCCTCCGGCCCCCTCCGGCCCCCGGACAGGAGCCCGGGTGGACGCTCAGGCTCCCACGGGGTGCTCCCGCCCTTTCCGAGGGTCCCTGCCCTCCAGGCAGCCTCAGGGACGCCCCCAGCCCCACGCCCTCCGCTCCAGGGGGCCGGTGTCCAGGCAGTCAGGGGTGACCGTGTGCACCCCGCTGAGGAACAGAGGTGGACGTGGCCGAGAAGGGCTGCCTGTCGGATAGGGCAAACGGGCCCTGTTAGCCTTCGCCGGTGGGTGCGGCGGAGGGAGGCCCTGAGGGCTGGGGGAGCACCAGGGAGGGAGTCTCCGGCCTGGGGGAGATCAGGGAAGGCTCCCTGGAGGAGGCGGCAGGGGAGCGGGATCAGAAAGAGAAAAGAAAAGGGAGAGAGAGACTCAGGTGGAGCTTGTGCCACGCACACATGCACGGACACACACTCAGACACACGCACAGACACACACAGACACATACACACTCAGAGGCACACAGACACACACGCACAGACACACACAGACACATACACACACAGAGGCACACAGACACACACACACAGAGACACACACACACAGACACACACGCACAGACACACACACGCACACACAGAGACACATGCACAGAGACACAAACACACACAGAGACACACGCACAGAGACACACACACAAACACACAAAACACAGAGAGACACACACACAGAGACATGCATAGACACACACGTGCGCACACATGCACAGAGACACACAGGCACACAGGCACACACAGACACACACAGAGACACACACGCACAGAGACACACACAAAAACACACAGAGACACACACGCACGGACACACACACACAGAGACACAGACACACACACACACACACAGAGACACACACGCACAGAGACACACACAAACACACACACACACACACACACACACACACACACACACACACGGCGTGGAGGAAGGAAGGCCTGCGGTTGGGGCCGGCGAGGGAGGCAGGGTCGGTCAGATCCCCGAGAAACTGCCTCGAGCGGCCATCATCCCTCAGACCCCACGGCCTGATGGGAGCACAGCCCACGGAGCCCTTCCCCTGCTTCACCATTCGGTGCCCTCACATCCCCACCCTGAGACACGGAGGTCACAGCAGAGCCTACGGCACACGGCTGTGACCGGGCACAGCGCTCGGAGCCGTCCCAGACGGGGGATGGACGCCAGGAAGCGGAGGACAGACGCCCGGGCGGAGGGAGGAGGGTTATTGTTTATTTGCCAGCGGCCTGGTGCATGAAATCGTGCCCCATACCGTCCCTAGGCCTGGCCGGTGATCGGGGCGATCAGGAGGGGGCTGGGGGGCCCCCATTGGCACCCGCCTTGGCCAGCCTGGGGCCTCAGGCCCTGCATTGAGCGTCTGCATTGAGCGTCTGCCCCCTGGTGGTCAGTGCGCATCATGGCGACGGGTGGCTCCCCTGTTGGGTCGATTTGCATATTAGGCTTTTATTACATAGGATTTAATTTTATTTTTTATTTTTTAAAGAAGTTTCATTCCTTTTGTCAAATACCAAATAAGGGATGCTTTTTATTTATTTATTTTTTATATATTTTATTGATTTTTCACAGAGAGGAAGAGAGAGGGATAGAGAGTTAGAAACATCCATCAGCTGCCTCTTGCGCACTCCCTGTGCCTGGACGGGGAATCGAACCGTGGCCTCCTGGTTCCTAGGCCAACGCTCAGCCCTGGAGCCGCGCCGGCTGGCGGCGGCGGGGAGAGGGGAGAGGGGTGGGGAAGAGGGGAGAGGGGAGAGGGGCGGAGAAGAGAGGAGAGGGGCGGGGAAGAGGGGAGAGGGGTGGGGAAGAGAGGAGAGGGGAGAAGGGAGAGGGGCAGTGGAGAGGGGAGAGGGGTGGGGAAGAGGGGAGAGGGGCAGGGAAGAGGGGAGAGGGGCAGGGAAGAGGGGAGAGGGGCGGGGAGAGGGGAGAGGGGCGGGAGAGAGGGGAGAGGGGCGGGGGAGAGGGGAGAGGAGCGGGGAGAGGGGAGGGGGCGGGGGAGAGGGGACAGGGACGGGGAGAAGGGAGAGGGGAGAGGGGAGAAGGGGAGGTGGCGGGGCCGGGGCTCACCCGCACCGCCCGGCCCCCAGGGTACGTGGACGTGGGCCAGATCCCGGCCGGCGCCCGGGAGATCCTGATCAAGGAGCTGGCCCCGTCTGGCAACTTCCTGGTGCTGCGGGGCCAGGACGCGGGCCGCTACCACCTCAACGGGCAGTGGAGCATCCGGCACCAGGGCGCCCACCCCATCGCGGGCACCGTCTTCTCCTACGTGCGCGACGGCCACCTGGAGCGGCTCACGGCGCCCGGCCCCACCAACGAGTCCCTCTGGATCCAGGTGCCCCCCGCCCCCCATCCCGCCCCCCCCTTCCGGCCCCCCCCTGCCCCCCTTCCCCCCCCTTCCGGCCCCCCGCCCCCTTCCCCCCCTTCCGGCCCCCCCCCGCCTCCCTTCCCCCCCATTCCGGCTCCTCCCCGCCCCCCCCCCCGTTCCCCCATTCCGGCCCCCCCCCCCGCCCCCACCCCCCCCATTCCAGCCACCCCGCGCCCCCTGCCGCCCACATTACGGGCCCCCCCCCCCCCCGGCCCAGGCCCGGCTGGGGAGGAATAGAGGTAAGGTGACTAGACGTCCCGCTTTGGGCGGGACAGTCCCGATTTTTTTTACCATTTTATTTTATTTTTATTTATTTTTTAAATATATTTTATTGATTTTTTTTGCAGAGAGGAAGGAAGAGGGATAGAGAGCTAGAAACATTGGTGAGAGAGAAACAGCGATCAGCTGCCTCCTGCACGCCCCCCACTGGGGATGTGCCCGCAACCAAGGTCCATGCCCTTGACCGGAATCGAACCCGGGACCCTTCCGTCCGCAGGCCGACGCTCTATCCACTGAGCCACACCGGTCTCCGCAGAATCGGGACTTTTTTAAAACACCGCGGGACGTGGACAAACGGCTAAAAATCGGGGCTGTCCCGCCAACAGCGGGACGTCTGGCCACCCAGAGGCCACTGGCCCTGGGGCCGGAGAAAGCCCGGGGATAGTCGCAGAGCCTGGCCCTGGCCTGGCTGGCCTAGGGGAAGTGTGAGGAAGGGGGGCTGCCTCAGTTTCCCCATCTCTATAGTGGGGCCCGGGGGTGGCTGGGTGGCCGGAGAGGGTGCTGGGAGCTCACGCCCCCTCCCGCGTCCCCAGATGCTGTTCTATGAGGCGAACCGCGGTCTGTACTACGAGTACACCATCCAGAGGGACGCCATCCCCCCGGGCGTGGCCACGGAGTTCTCCTGGGCCTATGGGGCCTGGACCGACTGCCCGGTCACCTGCGGCAAAGGTGAGGGCGGGGGCTGGTCCCCGGGCCTCCGTCCAGCTCGTCGTCATCGAGCCTGGGGTTCGGCTGCTCTGAGCCTCACTCTGCCCGTCTGTAAAATGGGCCCATCTCAGCGGGTCCCAGGGGCGTGCATGCTAGTGGGGGCGGTCACCCCGTGGAGCTATGTGCACATGTCGTCCTCAGAGGTAGCTGTTATTCTTTAATTTTTATTTATTTATTTATTTGCTATATTTTGTTGATTTTTTTTTTTTTTTTTTTTTTACAGAGAGGAAGAGAGAAGGATAGAGAGTTAGGAACATCGATGAGAGAGAAACATCCATCAGCTGCCTCCTGCATCCCCGCCCCCACGCTGGGGATGTGCCCGCAACCAAGGTCCATGCCCTTGACCGGAATCGAACCTGGGACCTTTCAGTCCGCAGACGGACGCTCTACCACTGAGCCAAACCGGTTTTGGCTGTTTTTATTTTAAAATATATTTCTTTATTGGTTTCAGAGAGAAGAGGAAGAGAAACTTCTGTGATGAGAGAGAATCACAGATCGGCTGCCTCCTGCACGCCCCCCACTGGGGATTGAGCTCACAACCCAGGCCCGTGCCCTTGACCGGAATTGAACCTGGGACCCTTAATCCGCAGGCCGACGCTCTATCCCCTGAGCCAAACTGGCCAGGGCACTGTCATTTTTATTGAATATATTTTTATTGATGTCAGAGAGGAAGGGAGAAGGAGAGAGAAACATCCATGAGGAGAGAGGACCAAGGATGGGCAGCCTCCTTCACGCCCCCCACGGACCTGTGCCCCGACCGGGAATCGAACCGTGATCTCCTGGTTCCTAGGTCGGTGCTCAGCCCCTGAGCCACGCCGGGGGCCGGGCCCGGGAGCCGTTCCTTGTTCCTCTCATTCCCAGATGAAGACTCAGGTCCAGAGGGGCCCTGAGCTGCCCTGGCCTGCAGCTAGGAAGCCCTAATCCCTAACCGCCAGGCGCTGCTCCCCGGGGTGGGGGGTGGGGGGCCTCGCTGCGGGGAGCTCTGAGCAGAGTGGGCGTGGCCGCGTCTGGGGGGCCCTGAGCCCGGCCTCACCGCCCCCGCCCCGTCCAGGCCTGCAGAGGCAGGTGGCGTACTGCACGGAGCGGCACTACGGGGCGGTGGACAGCAGGTACTGCGAGTTCCTGGGCCCGCCCGAGGAGCGCCAGAGGGTATGCGTCCAGGACCTCTGCCCCCCCAGGTGAGCCCCTGACCCCTGACCCCTGACTGCCCCCTGACCCCTGACCGCCCCCTGCAAGCCTCTGCCCCCCCAGGTGAGCCCCCGCCCCCTGACCTCCCCCTGACCCCTGACCGCCCCCTGCAAGCCTCTGACCTCCCAGGTGAGTCCCTGACCCCTGACCCCTACCGCCCCCTGCAAGCCTCTGACCCCGCCAGGTGAGCCCCTGACCCCTGACACCTGACTGACCCCTGCAAGCCTCTGCCCCCCCCAGGTGAGCCCCCCGCCCCCTGACCGCCCCCTGCAAGCCTCTGACCCCCCAGGTGAGCCCCCCACCCCCTGACCTCCCCCTGACCCCTGACCGCCCCCTGCAAGCCTCTGACCTCCCAGGTGAGTCCCTGACCCCTGACCCCTACCGCCCCCTGCAAGCCTCTGACCCCGCCAGGTGAGCCCCTGACCCCTGACACCTGACTGACCCCTGCAAGCCTCTGCCCCCCCCAGGTGAGCCCCCCGCCCCCTGACCGCCCCCTGCAAGCCTCTGACCCCGCCAGGTGAGTCCCTGACCCCCGCCCCCTGACCGCCCCCTGCAAGCCTCTGCCCCCCCAGGTGAGCCCCCTGCCCCCTGACCGCCCCCTGCAAGCCTCTGACCCCCTGTCCCCTGACCGCCCCCTGCAAGCCTCTGACCCCCTGTCCCCTGACCGCCCCCTGCAAGCCTCTGACCAAACCAAGTGAGCCCCTGACCCCTGACCGCCCCCTGCAACCCTCTGACCCCACCAGGTGAGTCCCTGACCCCTGACCCCTGACCGCCCCCTGCAAGCCTCTGACCCCGCCAGGTGAGCCCCTGACCCTTGACCCCTGACCCCTGACCGCCCCCTGCAAGCCTCTGACCCCGCCAAGTGAGCCCCTGACCCCTGACCCCTGACCGCCCCCTGCAAGCCTCTGACCAAACCAACTGAGCCCCCCGAACCCTGACCCTTGACCGCCCCCTGCAAGCCTCTGACCCTAAGTGACCCCTGACTGCCTCTGACCCCCTGACCCCTGACCGCCCCCCCTGCAAGCCTCTGACCCCGACAGGTGAGCCCCCTGACCCCTGACTGCCTCTGACCCCCTGACCCCTGACCGCATCCTGCAAGCCTCTGACCCCAAGTGAGCCCCTGACCCCTAATCCCTGTCCCCCCCCCTGCAAGCCTCTGACCCCACCAAGTGAGCCCTCTGACCCCTGACCCCTGACCGCCCCCCTGCAAGCCTCTGACCCCGCCAAGTGAGCCCTCTGACCCCTGACCCCTGACCGCCCCCCTGCAAGCCTCTGACCCCGCCAAGTGAGCCCTCTGACCCCTGACTGCCTTTGACCCCCTGACCCCTGACCGCCTCCTGACCCCCTTTCCTCCAAGAGGCTCTGAGCCTCCCTCTCCAGCTGCAGCCCAGCCCCCGGCCGCCCCCCTGCAGCCTGGGATGCCCCTGCCGCCTTGGCTGGGGGCCCCTGTGTGAGCGGGGTCCGGGGGCTGCACTCTGACCCTGGGCCCTGGGGGCGGGGCCTGACCCGGACGTGGCGCTCTGGGAGCACGGCCCCTGGGTCGAGGCCTCGGAGACCCCTTGTGCCGGAGGAGGGGGAGGGGAGCGGGGGGCCGGCCACCCTGTGCTGAGCCCCGTGTCGCCCCCAGGTGGTGGGCCAGCGACTGGCAGGCTTGCTCCCAGTCCTGCGGGCCCGGCGGCCTCCGGCGGCGGACGGTGTACTGCCTCCGCAGCCTGGGCCTGGGCACCTTCGCGGACATGCTGCCCCCCGACTGCGGGGACGCGCCCGCGCCGCCCGCCGCGCAGCCCTGCAACCAGCACGTGCCCTGCCCGTCCCGCTGGGCCTTCGGGCAGTGGACCCCGGTGAGCGGCGGCGGGGGGGGCTGCCCCCTGGGTCCCCGCTTTTTAAAATACACACGGAGTATGCGTTCAGAGGTCATCCTCCTCTGGCCACTCCGTGTACATCTGTATCTGTATCTGTATCTATATCTTTATATCTATATCTATAACTATATCTGTATCTATATCTATATCTGCATCTATATCTTTATCTATACCTATATCTGTATCTGTATCTATATCTATATCTATATCTGTACCTGTATCTATATATCTATATCTATATCTGTATCTATATCTATACCTGTATCTATACCTGTATCTATATCTATATCTATACCTGTATCTATATCTATATCTGTATCTATATCTATATCTGTATCTATATATATATCTCTATCTCTATATCTCTATATCTAAATCTATATCTATATCTATATATCTATCTCTATCTCTATATCTATATCTATGCCTGTATCTATATCTATATCTGTATCTATATCTTTATATCTATATCTATACCTGTATCTATATCTATATCTGTATCTATATCTATATCTTTATATCTATATCTATACCTGTATCTATATCTATATTTATATCTGTATCTATATCTATATCTTTATATCTATATCTATATCTAAATATCTATATCTATATCTGTATCTATATCTATATCTTTATATCTATATCTATATCTAAATATCTATATCTATATCTGTATCTATATCTTTATCTATATCTTTCTTTATCTTTATCTATACCTATATCTATATCTATATATCTCTATCTCTCTCTATATATATCTATATCTCTATATCTATATCTATATCTATACCTATACCTATATCTATATATCTCTATCTCTATATATATCTATATCTCTATATCTATATCTATTTCTATATTTATATCTATATCTATAACTACATATCTATATATCTATACCTATCTATCTGTCTATATCTATGTATCTATATAAAAACCTCAGTGACCGTGATGACCTGTCGAACGACCCGTCCACCGGTCACTGTGATGTGCACTGACCACCAGGGGGCAGACGCTCAGTGCAGGAGCTGCCCCTGGTGGTCAGTGCGCTCCCACAGCGAACCTCCCGCGGCCCCTCCCCCTGGCCAGCTGGCCAAGCTCCCGCGGCCCCTCCCCTTGGGGATCGGCCCCAGTTGGGACTGGGAGAGAAGGCCCCAATAGGCCCCGCTCACCAGCCAGGCTGAGGGACCCCACCCATGCACGATTTCATGTATGTATATATATGAGGCCCGATGCATGACTCTGTGCATGGGTGGGGTCCGGCCAGCCTGGCCGGGGGGAGGGGACGTGGGCAGTTGGCTGGCCTGCCTGCTGGTCGGACTCCTGGTCCAGGGGACCATGTGCACATTAGCCTTTTATTCTATAGGATAGTCACGGAGTGGCCAGATGATTGTGTCCAGAGATCATCATCATCTGGCCACTCGGTGTACCTACCTAATAAAAGAGCAACATGCTAATTGACCGTACCTTTGTGACGCCCACCAGCCAATCAGGAGTTGGTATGCAAATTAACCCAACAAAGATGGCGGGTTGATTTGCATACACGGGTGCTGAGAGGCTGGAGGGCGGGGCTGGATGCTCGTATCACCGCCATGGCGACAACACAGGCATTCTGCCCCGCCCCCAGCCCTTTGGGTCCTCTGAGCAGCGCGGTGCCCACAGCCAGGGGAAGGAAGGCCCCTCTGGCAGGAATCTTCCTGCATCGGGCCTCTAGCGTCTGCCCATATAAAGGGCTGCTGTGCAAGGTGTCCCCTCGGGAGTTCAACTAGGAGACCGGGAGGTCCATCACTCACTGTGATGTGCACTGACCACCAGGGGGCGGTGCAGGGCATGGTGGGAGACCAGCTGCGGTGGCAGGGTGCTGAGGGAGCGAGGGAAGGAGGAGGCAGGGAGGCGGGGAGGTGGGGAGCCTGGTCAGCCCTGATCGCAGGGCAGGCTAGGGACCTACCAGTGCACAAATTTCGTGCACCAGGCCTCTAGCATATACATGTTTGTATTGATGTCAGAGAGGAAGGGAGAGCCGAGACTGGTTTGGCTCAGTGGATAGAGCGTCGGCTTGGGGACTGAAAGGACCCGGGTTCGATTCCAGTCAAGGGCATGGACCTTGGTTGCGGGCACATCCCCAGTAGAGGGTGTGCAGGAGGCAGCTGGTCGATGATTCTCTCTCATCGATGTTTCTAGCTCTTTCTCTCTCCCTTCCTCTCTGTAAAAAATCAATAAAATATATATTAAAAAACAAAAAGAGAGAGGAAGGGAGAGAGAGAGAGAGAAACAGAAACAGAATCATCCATGAGGAGAGAGCATCATGGATCAGCTGCCTCCCCACTGGGAATCGAGCCCACAACCCAGGCCTGTGCCCTGACCGGGAATCGAACCCTGACCTCCTGGTTCCTAGGTCGACGCTCCGCCACCCAGCCACCTTGGCCGGGCGGCTCCAGTCTTGGGCGTGGGCTGCAGGGGGCGCCCTGGTTGCCAGACGCCCCAGTGGGGATGGGGGTGAGGGTTGGGTATTCCAGGTCCAGCCTGGTTGGTCCCCAAACCCAGGGGGCCTGGGATGGGGCACGTGTGGGGCTGTGGGGGGGCAGCTGGGAGCTCCCGGCTGACCCCCGCCCCCCGCCCCCGTGGCCCTCCCCTCCCCGCAGTGCTCCGCGACCTGCGGGCCGGGCGTGATCCGGCGGGCCGTGGCCTGCACCCAGGACGCCGGCGTCCCCTGTGACGAGGCCGAGCGGCCGCCCAGCCAGGCGCCGTGCCTCCTGCGGCCCTGCCTGGACGTCCCCGAGGGCCCCGAGGGCTCGGGCAGCGGCGGCGGCGGTGGCGGGCTGCTCGGCCAGGAGCTGGACAACGAGGTGGACTCCCTGCCCCGCCGCCTGGCGCACCGGCCTCCGCCCCCGGGCGCCGCGCTGCCCACTGAGCCGCCCGGCCCGGGCAACGCCATCGACCAGGCCGGGCGGGAGCTGGGCCCGCCGGGGCCCTCCGTGGTGGACGACTTTTACTACGACTACAACTTCATCCGCTTCCACGAGAACCTGGACGAGGACGGGGACGGGGACGGGGACGGGGATGGGGGGCCGGGCCTGCACCCCTCTTCCTCCCCGTCGCCCCAGAGCGGCCCCTCGGAGCCCCCCGCGCCTCGGCCCAGCCCGGCGGGCCCCCGCCTGCCCCCGCCTCCGGGGCGGACGCCCTGGGACCCTCTGATCAACTTCCTGCCCGAGGAGGACCCCCCCGTGGGGACCCCGCCCCCCGCGTCCGAGGGCCACACGCCTGCCACCCCTGGGACCCCCCAGGCGCCCCCGGCCCCCAGCCGGCCGCCCCCCCCGCGGTGGGAGAGCACCAACGAAGTCCCCGAGGATGACGAGGGGGGCCCCCCGGGCCCGTTTCTCCTGCCGGGGTTCCCCGAGGCACCCCCGCTGCCCCCCGCCCGCCCCTCGCCCCAGCCCGGCCCGGAGGCGCTGTGGCCTGGCGTTTGGGGCGTCCCTCCCGCGGCCCCCCTGCCCGAGGCCCCCCCCGGCCCGGCCCCACGGGACCCGCAGACCCCAGCGGGGCCCGGGGGACAGGAGCCGGGGGCCCCGACGCCCCTGAGCCCGGCCGGGGCCAGCCCCCCCGACGGCAGCAGCGTCCCCCGGGCCCCGCCGGCCGGGAACGCCAGCTGGGAGGTGGGAGACTGGAGCCAGGCAAGTGTCGGCGGGTCGCGATCCCCCTGCCTCAGTTTCACTGCTGAGCGGTGGGAGGGGGCGGGCCGGGGGCCCCCACTTCCCTGCGGCTCCGGGGGCCGCACAGGCCCTCCCCCGACCAGCCCGGGGGCCGCCCCCTGTTCCTCTCCCTCAGCCTTGAATGCCCCCGAGGACAGGGAGCTCACCCCCTTACCCGGCAGGGGGTGGGGCGGGGCAGCCCCCCGTTAGCGGGGTCCCCTGCTCTCAGGGCCTGCAGGGGTCCGAGAGGCCTGGCACCCCGCTGCCCCCCCCCCGCTCCCCCTCCCCTGCACCCCGGATTGTCCCTGAGGAGGAGGGAGCTCCCGTTCGGGTCCCTCCTGTGGGGGATCGCCCCCACACTGCCTCTCCCCCCCTTTCCCCCGCCCCCCGCTGGCCTGGTCACCCCCAACTGCCTCCCAGCCAGGCCCTGCCCTTCCCGGTGGGGTCTGTCTGCCCAGCTGGGCCCTCCCCTATGTCCCGCTGTCCCCTGGGGAGGGGGGTCGGGGTCTGGGGGAGGAGCCCATTTTACAGATGGGAAGACTGAGGCCCTGGGGGCAGAGATGCAGACACCCCCCCCCTGCTCCCCCCATGGGCAGCCTGGGGGTGGGGCTGGAGGGAGGGAGGGGGGTGGGGCTGGAGGGAGGGGGTGGCGGTCCAGCTGTGGGGCCGGAGGGAGGGAGGGGGGTGGGGCTGGAGTGGGGGGCCAGGTGTGGGGCTGGAGGCAGGGGGTGGCGGTCCAGCTGTGGGGCCGGAGGGAGGGAGGGAGGGGGCGCCCCCTCACGCCCCGCCCCCCCCCCCCCAGTGCTCCACCACCTGCGGGCTGGGCGCCTCCTGGAGGGGCGTGCGCTGCAGCTCGGGCCGCGAGGAGGACTGTGCGCCCGAGGGCCGCCCGCAGCCCGCCCGCCGCTGCCACCTGCGGCCCTGCGCCACCTGGCGCGCCGGCAACTGGAGCAAGGTGCGTGCGGGCGGGGGGGGGGGCCTGCCCCCCACATGCCTGTCCCCCAGTGCTCCCAGGGCGGGGGGGGGGCCCTGCCCCCCACATGCCTGTCCCCCGTCCCCCCAGTGCTCCCAGGGCTGCAGCGGTGGGGGTGCCCCCCACATGCCCGTCCCCCCCCTCCGTCCCCCCAGTGCTCCCAGGGCTGCGGGGGGGGTGCCCCCCACATGCCTGTCCCCCCGTCCCCCTTCCCCCCAGTGCTCCCAGGGCTGCGGGGGGGGTGCCCCCCACATGCCCGTCCCCCCCCTCCGTCCCCCCAGTGCTCCCAGGGCTGCGGGGGGGGTGCCCCCCACATGCCTGTCCCCCCGTCCCCCTTCCCCCCAGTGCTCCCAGGGCTGCGGGGGGGGTGCCCCCCACATGCCCGTCCCCCCCCTCCGTCCCCCCAGTGCTCCCAGGGCTGGGGGGGGGGTGCCCGCCCACATGCCTGTCCCCGTCCCCCCAGTGCTCCCAGGGCTGCGGGGGGTGGGTGTCCGCCCACATGCCTGTCCCCCCAGTGCTCCCAGGGCGGGGGGGTGCCCGCCCACATGCCTGTCCCCCCAGTGCTCCCAGGGCTGCGGGGGGTGGGTGTCCGCCCACATGCCTGTCCCCCCAGTGCTCCCAGGGCGGGGGGGTGCCCGCCCACATGCCTGTCCCCCCAGTGCTCCCAGGGCGGCGGGGGGCTCTGTAGCCGCCTACATTCCTGTCCCCCCGTCCCCCCAGTGCTCCCAGGGCGGGGGGGCCCCTGCCCGCCCACATGCCTGTCCCCCCCCCAGTGCTCCTAGGGCTGCGGCGGGGGGTGCCCGCCCACATGCCTGTCCGCCCCCCCCCCTCCGTCCCCCCAGTGCTCCCAGGGCTGCGGCGGGGGGGGTGCCCGCCCACATGCCTGTCCCCTCGTCCCCCCCCCCCCAGTGCTCCCAGGGCTGCGGCGGGGGGCTCTCGGTGCGGGACGTGCAGTGCGTGGACGCCCGGGACCTGCGGCCGCTGCGGCCCTTCCACTGCCAGCCCGGGCCCGGCCCGCCGCCCGCCCGCCGGCCCTGCGGCTCCCAGCCCTGCCTGAGCTGGTACACCTCCTCCTGGCGGGAGGTGAGCGGGGTGTGTGTGATGGAGGGGGTGGGAGAGGGGAGGGAGGGGAGGGGAGGGAATGGAGGGGGAGGGGGTGACGGGCGGGCTCCCCGGCCTGGCCCTGACCCCTGGCCCCTGACCCCTGACCCCGCAGTGCTCGGAGGCCTGCGGAGGGGGCGAGCAGCACCGCCTGGTGACCTGCCCGGAGCCCGGCCTGTGCCCGGAGGCGCTGAGACCCAACGCCACGCGGCCCTGCAACACGCACCCCTGCACCCAGTGGGCGGTGGGGCCCTGGGGCGAGGTGAGGGGGGGGCAGTGGGGGGCAGTGGGGGTGACCGGCCAGCGGGGGGCAGCGGCGGGCTGTGGGGGTGACTGGCCAGCGGGGGCAGGGCTGGGAGGGCTGGGAGGGCTGGGGGGCGGCGGGGGGCAGCGGGGGTGACCGGCCGGCGGGGGAGGGCCGGGGGGGTGACCGGCCAGCGGGGGCAGGGCTGGGAGGGCTGGGAGGCGGCGGGGGGCAGCGGGGGTGACCGGCCGGCGGGGGCAGGGCTGGGAGGGCGGGGGCGGCGGGGGGCAGTGGGGGGACCGGCCGGCAGGGGCAGGGCTGGGAGGGCGGGGGCGGCGGGGGGCAGTTGGGGCAGCGGGGGCAGGGCTGGGAGGCGGGGGCGGCGGGGGGCAGTGGGGGGCAGCGGGGGCAGGGCCGGGAGGCGGGGGCGGCGGGGGGCAGTTGGGGCAGCGGGGGCAGGGCTGGGAGGCGGGGGCGGCGGGGGCTGTGCCGCCGGCGGTGACCGCCCCCCCCGCAGTGCTCGGCCCCGTGCGGCGGCGGGGTGCAGCGCCGGGTGGTCCGCTGTGTGAACACCCACCGGGGGCTGCCCGAGGAGGACAGCGGGCGCTGCGCCCACGAGCCCTGGCCCGCCAGCGCCCGGCCCTGCGGCACGCAGGCCTGCGAGGTCTCCGAGCAGCGGCGGGGTGAGTGTCCGCGGGAGGCGCCCTGACTCCCGGGGGGCCGGGCAGGGGGCCGGGGGCCGGGCCGGAGGGGGACCCAGCCGCCTGGCAGCCTCACCCCGTGCTGCTGCGCCATCCCTGGGGGACGGGCCTGAGGCAGAGGAGGCTCAGGACACACACAGGCACCTGTGCGCTCATACATGCACACGCGTGCACACACCCCACCTACTCACAATGCATGCACATGCGTGCACACAATTCCGCGCACACGTGGGTGCATGTACATGCACACGTGCGCGTGCACAAATACATGTGTGTGCACATATGTACCGACACGTGCATGCACACACAATTTTGTGTGAACGCACGTGTATATGTGCGTGTGTGTATATGCAGGTGAGTGTGCACACATACATGTGTGTGCCCACATATACGTGTGAATGCCGGAACCCAGGACCAGCTCCCGTGAGGCTCCGTGGTCTGTGTTTTGTTTGGTTGGTTGGTTCTGAGAGAGAGTGGGAGGGGGCGGGAGAGAGAAACACCGATGGGAGAGGGACATCCATGGGCTGACTCCTGCACACGACCAAAGCGGGGAGGAGCCTGCATTCATTTCATTCTTATTATTTTAAAAATACATTCTATTGATTTTTTTTTTTTACAGAGAAGAAGGGAGAAGGAGAGAGAGTTAGAAACATCGATGAGAGAGAAACATCGATCAGCTGCCTCCTGCACACCCCCTACAGGGGATGTGCCCGCAACCAAGGTCCATGCCCATGACCGGAATCGAACCCGGGACCTTTCCGTCCGCAGGCCGGCGCTCTATCCACTGAGCCACACCGGCCGGGGCAGGTCTGGTTTGGAGGGAGGTCAGGTGGCCGCGCCATGAGCTGCCCCAACAAGGGAGTTTCCCGGCTGCAGCCGCCCGGCGGTGGGGACGGGGATTGGGGGGGGAGCCTGGGATGCCGGCACCTGGCGCCCCAGGAAGTGGGGTGACTCATGGGAGCCCCAGGCGGTGAGGTCACCGCAGCGAGGCAGCTGCCGGCGGGCGGCGGGCGCTGACAAAGGAGGACCCCACCCCATGTGAAGAGGCAGGAAGAGGGAGGGCCGCCTGCAGCACCAGCGGGGTCAGAGGTCAGGGGCCCAGACGCAGCTGCTTCCCCGGCCGGCTGGTGTGGCTCAGTGGATAGAGCGCCAGTCTGCAGACTGAAGGGTCCCGGGTTCGATTCCGGTCAAGGGCATGTGCCTTGGTTGCGAGCACATCCCCAGTGGGGGGTGTGCAGGAGGCAGCTGATGGATGTTTCTCTCTCATTGATGTTCCTAGCTCTCTATCCCTCTCCCTTCCTCTGTAAAAAATCAATAAAATATATTTTTTTTAAAAAAGAAAGTATAAACACTGTATTTAAAAAATAAATAAAATCAATGGGAAAATATCCTCAGGGGAGGATTTAAAATTAAAAAATAAAGTCAATACTTCAAAACAAAGCTCTGGGGATGGGGGCCCTGACCCCGGTCCCGTGCCCCCCCCCGTGACCCCCGACCCCCTGACTGCCCCCCCCCCCAGGCTGCGAGCAGGACCAGCTGCCCTTCGGCTCCTGCGAGAGGCTCCGCCTCCTGGACCGCTGCCGGCTGCCCAGCATCCGCGCCCAGTGCTGCCTCACCTGCCGCGCCTGACCCACCCCCCGCCGGCCGGGCGGGCGGACAGACAGCCGGACGGACAGACCACTGACAGCCACACAGACCTCAGCGCCTCCCCGCCCCCCTCCGCGCCCCCATGGTGCTACACCGGCCCTGCCCTGCGGGCGGGGACGCCTCAGGTGTTCTTCATTCCCACCGTGTGTACCGTTGTTATTTTGTTATTGTTGTTGTTATTATTGTCATTATTCTATAAACAAGTATCTACCATGTCCCCGTGTCCCCTGGCTTCTTCGAGGAGGGGTAAGGGGGGACTCCCGGTCTGAAATCCTGCCTCCTCCCTACCCCCACTGTCTTAAAAAAAAAAATAAAAAAAAAAATAAATATATATATATATATACACACACACACACACACACACACACAAACACCGTGTTTCCCCGAAAATAAGACATCCTTCGAAAATAATATCTAGCATATCTTTGGGAGCAAAAATTAATATAAGACACTGTCTTATTTTCGGGGAAACAGGGTGTATGTGTGTGTGTGTGTGTGTGTGTGTGTGTGTGTGTGTGTATATATATATATATATATATATATATATGTATGTAAATTGATTTCAGGGAGGAAGGGAGAAGGAGAGTCAGAATCATCGATGAGAGGGAATCATCCACCAGCTGCCTCTTGCAGGTCCCTTACTGGGGATGTGCCCGCAACCAAGGTCCATGCCCTTGACCGGAATCGAACCCGGGCCCCTTCAGTCCGCAGGCTGACGCTCTATCCACTGAGCCACACTGTTAGGGCTGCAAGTTCTTAAGGAGCCCCTCTGTGCTGGGGCTTTGAGACCGGCGCCAGCACTGATAACCACTGATCGGCTGCCTCCTGCACGCCCCCCTACTGGGGTTTGTGCCTGAAACCCAGACATATGTCCCCACCCGGAATGGCACTGTGACCTGGTTCACAGGTCGATGCTCAACCACTGAGCCACACTGGCCGGGCCAGGAACCCTCTTAAATGTTTTTTTTTTTTTTTTTTTTTTTTAAATCCTGGCTCTAAACCGGATTATGACGGGAGGACCTGGCAGTGCAGCTGTGGCTCAGCTGAGTCTGACCTCCGTGAACTTGTAGGTTCAGGCGGGTGTGGGAGGGACACTGGGCACAGCTGGTTCCTAATCCCAAATACAGAGAAAGGTCCTTATTTGTCTTTCCTGCTGCCTGCAACACCGCTCAGTGCCACAGGGGGGCAGCATCTACCTGCTTTAAAAAAACACCTATTGAATTTGGAAAATTTTCACTATTGAATTTCTGTTGTGCCGCTTGCAATACCTCGGAGTGCGCACAGGGGGGCAGCATTTACCTGCTTTTGAAACTTTATTTTCTCTCTTTTTAAAAAATATATATATATTTTATTGATTTTTTTACAGAGAGGAAGGGAGAGGGATAGAAAGTCAGAAACATCGACGAGAGAAACACCGCTCCAGCCGCCTCCTGCACACCCCCAACCTGGGATGTGCCCGCAACCAGAGTGCATGCCCTTGACTGGAATCGAACCCGGGTCCCTTGAGTCCGCAGGCCGACGCTCTATCCACTGAGCCAAATCGGTTTCGGCTGCTTTTGCGATTTAAAAAAATGTACTTTGTAAATGGGCCTCAACATTCTGGGACAGAGTTTTGGTCAAGTTGTTTCCCCTGAAAAAGTACCGATTTTTAAAAATGAATCGCTTAGGCCCTGGCCAGTGTGGCTCAGTGGATAGAGCGTCGGCCTGCAGACTGAAGGGTCCCAGGTTCGATTCCGGGCAAGGACATGGACCTTGGTTGCGGGCACATCCCCAGTGGGAGGCGTGCAGGAGGCAGCTGATGGATGTTTCTCTCTCATTGATGTTTCTAACTATTCTCCCTCTCTGTAGAAAAATAAATAAAATATATATGTAAATATTTAAAATGACTTAGAAAAATAAGACAAAAAAGAAAAAAAAAACACACACATCCTAATAACTAAAGACTGCCACACATACGGAGGAGTCCAAGGGCCCAAGACATGGTCAGCCCTGAGGAAGGAAAGGAGGAAGCTCTGTGGACCATTTATCTGCTTTAAAAAATATATACAAACATATTTTATTGATTGTTTACAGAGAGGAAAGGAGAGGGGTAGAGAGCTAAAACATCGATGAGAAAGAAACATCCATCGGCTGCCTCCTGCACGCCCCCCACTGGGGATGTGCCCGCAACCAAGGCACATGCCCTTGACCGGAATCGAACCTGGGACCCTTCAGTCTGCAGGCCGACGCTCTGTCCACTGAGCCACACCGGTTTCGGCCATTTATCTGCTTTTTAAAGACATCGGAGTTGTTGGCTGTGCTGGGAGCCTGGGTGGACCCTCGCTGTCCGGAATAACTTATTGGGGGGGGGGCGGGAGGATCTGGGGACCCCCGCTCCAGCTCAGCTGTTGGCACTGGCTGTCTCTCCCCCAAATCCCTCAGCGGCTGCGAGTCCTGACTGGACGGATTTGAGCTTCGGGAGAAACACAGACCCACCTGCCCTGAAGCTGTGAAAACCAAGCCTGGCCCTGGCCCGTGTGGCTCAGTGGATGGAGCATCGGCCTGGGAACTGAGGGGTCCCGGGTTCGATTCCGGTCAGGGGTACAGGTCAATGATTCTCTCTCATCATTGGTGTTTCTCTCTCCCTCTCCCGTCCTCTCTGAAATCAATCAATCAATCATCAATCAATAAAAACCAACCAACCGAGACTGTACATGTGTGCCCTGCTCTTCCGTCTCAGCACACGCGTGTGCTGACCTTTACAAAAACGCTCAGGGACCCTTCCCCTCCCCACCTGGGAGTCCGTGCTTGCTTCTAAGTAAAGTTCCACGTTTGCTATAAAATGATTTGTTTAAAAAATATTTTTGTTGGTTTCAGAGAGGAGGGGAGAGGGGGAGAGAGAGACACATCCATGATGAGAGAGAATCATGGATCGGCCGCCTCCTGCACGCCCCACACTGGGGATGGAGCCCGCCACCCGGGCCTGTGCCCTTGACCAGGAATTGAACCCTGACCTCCTGGTTCACAGGTGGGTGCTCAGCCACTGAGCCACACCGGCCTCCACCCCGTCCACTGGGCCCAGGGAGCAGCCGCCCCTCCCCCACACGGGGAAATGGTCTGTCCCCCTGGGTTTCCCCATGGGGGGCCGGGCCAGCCGGGCCTGAGCTGTCCTCCCGGCGCAGGCAGCCCGTGACTCAGGCGGCCGGTGCTGGCAGGGAGGGGGCGCCACCCACGGGGCCCCCAGCTCCCCGCCCGGCTGAAGGCGGGAGGCCGGGCCCGACACCCCATGGCCCCACCGTCACAGCTCACGACGGCTCTCAGCGCCTCACAGGGCTGCCGACCGAGGCGTCCTGCCCCCACAGCACCCCCCCCACACCCCAACACACACCCCAACACACACCCCAACACACATCATACCCCCCCTACACACCCCTCCCACAGCACCCCCCACACACACCCCCACACACACCCCAACACACACCCCAACACACATCTTACACCCCCAACACACATCCCCTCATACCCCCCATATACACCCCCTACACACACCCCCCACACACACCCCCACACACACCCCAACACACATCTTACACCCCCCAACACATATCCCCTCATACCCCCCATATACACCCCCTACACACACCCCCACACACACCCCAACACACACCCCAACACACATCATACACCCCCCAACACATATCCCCTCATACCCCCCATATACACCCCCTACACACACCCCCACACACACCCCAACACACATCTTACACCCCCCAAAACACATCCCCTCATACCCCCCATATACACCCCCCACACACACCCCAACACACACCCCAACACACACCCCAACACACATCATACCCCCCCTACACACCCCTCCCACAGCACCCCCCCCCACCCCAACACACCCCCCCAACACACATCATACCCCCCCTACACACCCCTCCCACAGCACCCCCCACACACACCCCAACACACATCTTACACCCCCAACACACATCCCCTCATACCCCCCATATACACTCCCTACACACACACCCCCACACACACCCCAACACACACCCCAACACACATCTTACACCCCCCAACACACATCCCCTCATACCCCCCATATACACCCCCTACACACACACCCCCACACACACCCCCACACACACCCCAACACACATCTTACACCCCCCAACACACATCCCCTCATACCCCCCATATACACCCCCTACACACCCCTCCCACAGCACCCCCCACACACACCCCAACACACACCCCAACACACATCATACCCCCCCTACACACCCCTCCCACAGCACCCCCCACACACACCCCAACACACACCCCAACACACATCTTACACCCCCCAACACACATCATACCCCCCATATACACCCCCTACACACACCCCCACACACACCCCAACACACATCTTACACCCCCCAACACATATCCCCTCATACCCCCCATATACACCCCCTACACACACACCCCCACACACACCCCAACACACATCTTACACCCCCCAACACACATCCCCTCATACCCCCCATATACACCCCCTACACACACACCCCACACACACCCCAACACACATCTTACACCCCCCAACACATATCCCCTCATACCCCCCATATACACCCCCTACACACACCCCCACACACACCCCAACACACATCTTACACCCCCCAACACACATCCCCTCATACCCCCATATACACCCCCTACACACACCCCCCACACACATCATACACCCCACACAACCCCATACACACCCCCACACACACCCCAACACACATCATACACCCCACACAACCCCATACACACCCCCACACACACCCCAACACCCCCCCCAACACACATCACACACCCCTCAACACACCCCTACCACACACACCCCAACACACATCTTACACCCCCAACACATATCCCCTCATACCCCCCCATATACACCCCCTACACACACACACCCCAACATACATCTCCCACCACACCCCCCATACATCCCACACCCATACACACCCATACACCAACACACACACCCCATACACACACCCCACACACGCCTATACACACCCCAACACCCCTCTATACACACCCACACACCCACACCCATACACACACACACCCCATACACACACACACCACACACACACCCCCATACACACACACACACACTCCATACACACACACACCCATACACACACACACACACACCCAGAGCCAGCCGGGGCTCAGCCGTACCAGGCAGGGGGCATCTCCGTGAGCTCATACAAACGTTTACTCTCCTTGTCACGCAGCCGGCAGAGCGGCGGGAAGGTGCGGCCCCGCGGGTCTGCACCCCGAGATTGTGTACAAACAGGTGCGCCCGGACCGCGGAGACCCGGCTACAAAACTGAAGCTGCGGTGCCGGTCAAAGGGCGCGGGGAGGGGGCGGCGCAGGGCGGGGGGACCCCACTGCCGGGCCGGGCCTGTGGGGTCCGCTGGCCGCCCCCTCCGCACGCCCCGGGGTCCCACCGCCGGCCAGGCCGGGCGCCTCCTGCGGGGCGGACGGACGGACGGACGGAAGGACGGACAGAGGGACAAGCCAGTCCCGCAGGCGCGGCCCGGGGACGGGGACGGAGGGACGGATCCCGGGAGCCAGGCCCCATTCCCAGGCGGCGGGCCGGCCCGGAGGAGGGGGTTCGGGGAGGGGGCGGCCCCAAAAGGAGGCGGAGACCGGCCGCCCCGCGCAGGGCCCCCCGCATGTGGCGGGGGCTGGGGGGCGGGGACCCCAAACACCTCCAACCTCCAACCGGGGGGAACGCGGCTCCCAGCCGCCCCGTCTGTGCGGCCGTCGGGTGGACCCGGCTCACCCGCCCCAACGGCGCCCGGACCGAGCCCTGAGCCCGCCGGACCCACAACCACGGAGCGCGCTCAGGCCCGGGGCGCCCCGGGGGGGGGGGCCGGGGGCCGGCAGAGGGGCCCCCAGGCCGCAGGGAGCCCCCCAGGCCCCGGGGTTCCTGCAGCCGCTCCTCGCCCGGACCTCACTGCGAGCCCCGTGCCCGCACGGGGCGCCCACGCGGGGTTGGGGGGCGCAGACCCCACACTCGGACCTCGCTGCAAACAGGCCGGGGAGACGCCCGCCGGCACCGGTCGAGCGGTCGGTCGCTCGGTCGGCCGGTCGGGAAGAGGCTGCAAACAGGCCCTGGAGCCGCCCGCCGGCACCGCTCGGTCTGTCGCTCGGTCGGCCGGCCGGGCCGGGGTCCGGGCTCAGGTGTCCTCCTCGTCGCTGACCAGCGCGCCCTTGTCGGGCCTTGCGGCGGCGTCGCGCTCGCGCAGGAAGTGCAGGCGGATGGCCTCCAGCTCCGACAGCTCCTGCCGCACCTTCTCCAGGTGGAAGGCGCGCCGGTTGCGGATCTGGCGCAGCGGGAAGGGGTTCAGGTCCCCGAAGGCGATGGCGACCAGCTTCCTGGGGGCGGGGGAGGGGGCGCACACGGGGCTCGGCCTGGGCCCGGAGGCCGGGACCCGCCCCGCAGCCCGGCCTGGCCCCGCGCCCCGCGCCCCGCGCCCGGGCCCCGCAGGCTCTGTCCCCTCTGCCCCCCCCCCCGGGCTCCGCCCCGGGCCCTGCACACCCCGGCCGCACCCAGGCCGGCCGCAGCGCTCACCGGGCGTCCAGGATGGAGCGGGTGAAGGAGCGCAGGTACTGGAAGATGGACGTGGAGTCCTGCAGCCGGAGGATCTCCTCCTCCCGGAACTTGAGCAGCGCGAGCGCGAAGCGGAAGATGACCTGCGGGCGCGTCCTCTGAGCCGGGGCCACCGCCGCCCGGCCCGCCGCCCGCGGGTGCGCAGCCCTGGAGGCCCCGCGCCGGCCGGCCTCCCCCCACCCGCAGCCAGGGCCCCGCAGGCCCAGTGCTCCCTTTCCTGAGGGTCCAGCAGGCGGCCGCCTCCGGCACCCGGCCGCCTCCAGGGGCACCCCCGCCCCCTGCCCACGCCCCGCGCGGGGACCCCCCCCAGTGCCCATACCCCATGGGCACCCCGCCCACACCGCCTTGGGCACCCCCCTCCCCCACCCACACCCCCATGGGCAGCCCCCCGCCCCCCCCCGGGCCCCCGCCGCGCCCACCTTGGGGCCCTCGTACAGGAAGGCGTCCCAGATGCGGAAGAGCACGTCGCTGGCCACGCTGTCCACGAAGACCACCAGGAACCAGTTGAAGGTGATGAGCGCGCAGTCCACGCGGTGCTGCTCCAGGTGCGCGTGCAGCCGCGGCAGCTTCTCGCTCAGCAGGTCCCGGAACACGCGCTGGTCCACCTGCGGGAGGCGGGTCCGCGCGCACCGGCCGGCTCCGGGCAGGGCCCCCGGCTCCGGCCCACTCCCCGCCCCGCCCCCGGGCCCACTCCCCTCCCCGCCCCGGCCCGGCCCACTCCCCTCCCTGCCCCGCCCCCGGGCCCACTCCCCGCCCCGCCCCACTCCCCGCCCCGCCCCCGGGCCCACTCCCCGCCCCGCCCCGGCCCACTCCCCGCCCCGCCCCGGCCCGGCCCACTCCCCACCCCGCCCCGGCTCCGGGCCCACTCCCCGCCCCGCCCCGGCCCACTCCCCGCCCCGCCCCGGCCCGGCCCACTCCCCGCCCCGCCCCGGCTCCGGGCCCACTCCCCGCCCCGCCCCGGCCCGGCCCACTCCCCGCCCCGGCCCGGCCCACTCCCCACCCCGCCCCGGCCCGGCCCACTCCCCGCCCCGCCCACTCCCGCCCCACCCCGACCAGCCCAGCCCGTGTGCACCGGGCCTGCTCACGGAGCCGCCCCCCTGCCCTCCTCCCCTACCCCCCTCTTTCCTTACCCCCTCCTCCCCTACCCCCCTACCCCCCTCCTCCCCTCCCCCCTCCTCCCCTCCCCTACCTCCTCTTCCCCTACCCGCTCCTCCCCTCCCCCCTCCCCCCTACTGCCCTCCTCCCCTACCCCCTCCCCCCTCCTCCCCTACCCCCTCCTCCCCTACCTCCTCTTCCCCAACCCCCTCCTCCCCTCCCCCCTCCCCCTCCCCCCTACTGCCTTCCTCCCCCTCCCCCCCTCCTCCCCTCCCCCCTTCCCTCCCCTACCTCCTCTTCCCCAACCCCCTCCTCCCCTCCCCCCTCCCCCCTACTGCCTTCCTCCCCTCCCCCCTCCCCCCTACTGCCTTCCTCCCCTCCCCCCTCCTCCCTACTGCCCCCCTCCCCTACCTCCTCTTCCCCTACCCCCTCCTCCCCTACCCCCTCCCCGCCGAGGAGCGCGGGGTCAGTGCGTCCACGCAGGTTCCGGGGGGACGATGGCGGGGCAGTGCCCCGAGCCCATCGCTGCCCACACAGCGGGAGCCGCACCCCCACAGGGGCCCCGGCCTGGCCCCTCTTCCTCAGACCCCACGGCCATGGGGTCCTCCCGCCCCGCCTCCCTCCTGCCCTGGGCCTGGGTCCCTCCCGGGGTCCCTCCCATGAGCCCCCAGAGCCTGCGGTCCAGGCACCCCTCCCGGCCTCCGGGCTCCGCGGCCAGGACCCCGCCCGGCGGCCTGGCCCAGGGCGCAGGGGCTGAGCTGGGGCGGGCGCAGGAGGCCTGCGGGCCGGGCGCCGAGGGACACCCCCCCCCCAGGCCCCCGAGGCCACGGGCGCACCTGGGAGCCCAGCAGGGTCTTGGTGTAGTAGTCCCGCGGCATGAACACCTCCACGATGGCCACCAGGCACCAGAAGGCGTCCTCCTGCTCCAGGTACAGCAGGGCCACGGCCGCCAGCCTGCCGCGGAGGGGAGGGCAGTGAGCGCCCACCGGCCCTCCCCTCCCCCGCACCCCGTCCCTGCCGCCCGCCCAGTCTCCTTCCCCTTGCTGTTCCGAAAGTCTCAGAGCAAAGCTCCACGCCCTCCCCCTTCACTCGCTGCCGTTTTTTAATAGATTTCTTTTAAAAATATATATAAATATATTATTGATTTCTTACAGAGAGGAAGGAGAGGGAGGGTCAGAAACATGGATGAGAGAGAAACATCGACCAGCTGCCTCCTGCACACCCCCTACTGGGGATGTGCCCGCAGCCAAGGTACATGCCCTTGACCGGAATCGAACCCGGGACCTTTCAGTCCAAGGGCGGAGGCTCTATCCACTGAGCCACACTGGTGAGGGCATTACTATCGTGTTTCCCCGAAAATAAGACATCCTCCGAAAATAAGACCTACTCACAGGTTTCCTTCTGAGTGAAAGATAAGGCATCCCCCCCCCTCGAAAATAAGCCCCCCCCCCCTAGGCTAAACATGAGAGATTTGGCCCACTGATTCTGAAAGAAATGGAGTCACAGGAAATTCACCAGGAAATTCAGGAATTGGATTGTGAGGATGATGTTCCAGAAGATGATGACATGATTGTCATTGAATAAATGAGTAGATTCTTGCTACTGTAGGATTCAGTGTCTGGTTTGTGTTGACAACTACCGTACTACCGTACCGTACACAGGTAATACATTTCCTTCATTTTCATTTAACAGTAAATGGGTGCCATATTCTTCTTCATGAAAAAATAAAACACCCCCTGAAAATAAGACTTAGCGCATCTTTGGGAGCAAAAATTAATAGAAGACACTGTCTTATTTTCGGGGAAACAGAGTATATTTCTTTTTTTTAAGATGTTGTTTATTGTCCAGCCGCCCTGGCTCAGTGGTTGAGTGATGACCTATGAACCAGGAGGTCAGGGTTCAATTCGTGGTCAAGGCACATGCCTGGGTTGCAGGCTCCATTCCTAGTAAGGGGTCATGCAGGAGGCAGCTGATCGCTAATTCTCTTTCATCACTAAGGTTTCTATCTCTCTCCCTTCTTCTCTCTGAAATTAATAAAAATATATTTTAAAAAACAAAAATTTTAAAATTGACTTCAGAAAGGAAGAAAGAGGGAGTGAGAGAGAGAAACATCCATGATGAGATGTTAGAAACATCGATGAGATAAACATCCATCAGCTGCCTCCTGCACACCCCCCACTGGGGATGTGCCCGCAACCAAGGTACATGCCCTTGACCGGAATCGAACCTGGGACGTCCGCAGGCCGACGCTCTATCCACTGAGCCAAACTGGTCCTGGCCTGTTTTAACTAAAATTAGGGGGTCGTCTTATACGCCAGAAAATGTGTGTGTGTGTGTGTGTGTGTGTGTGTGTGTGTGTGTATCTGAAACTAGTTTGGCTCAATGGATAGAGCGTTTGTCTGTGGACTGAAGGGTCCCGGATTCGATTCCTGTTAAGGGCATGTACCTTGGTTGCGGGCACATCCCCAGTGGGGTTGTGCAGGAGGCAGCTGGTCGATGTTTCTCATCGATGTTTCTGACTCTCCCTCTCCCTTCCTCTCTCTGAAAAATCAATAAAAAAATACATTAAAAAAAATATATATGTACACACACACACACACACACACACACACACACACACACACACGAGTGGCCAGATTACTATGAATTCAGAGATCATCACCATTTGGCCGCTCAGTGTACATGTTTTTGAATCAGCTCTCTCTGGCTGAGCGGGAGGGCGTGGGGGCGGAGCCCGCGTCGCAGGGGGTGGAGCCCGAGTCGCAGGGGGTGGAGCCGAGGCGCGTGGGGCGGGGCCCAAGTCGCAGGGGCGGAGCTGAGGCATGCGGGGCGGGGCTGGAGGCGCGGGGACGGGGCTGGAGGCGCGGGGCGGGGCCCGAGGCACGCGGAGGCGGGTCCGAGGCACGGGGGCGGGTCCGAGGCGCGGGGTCGGAGCTGGAGGCGCGGGGGCGGGGCCAAGGCATGCGGGGCGGGGCCGAGGCGCGGGGGCGGAGCTGGAGGCGCGGGGGCGGGGCCAAGGCATGCGGGGCGGGGCCGAGGCGCGGGGGCGGAGCTGGAGGCGCGGGGGCGGGGCCAAGGCATGCGGGGCGGGGCCGAGGCGCGGGGGCGGGGCCCGAGGCACGCGGGGCGGGGCCCGAGGCCGCCCAGCACGGCCCTGCGTGGGCGCACGCACCTGTTGAGGCCCTGGCAGTAGCCGATGTCGGGGTTGCGCCAGGAGAAGGCCAGCAGCACGTTGCGCAGCGGCGGGATGCCGTCGGAGGCGGGCCCGGCGTAGTGGCGGTTGGTGGGCAGCGTGCGCAGCAGGTCCAGCTCGATCTGCTGCGAGGCCGGGTTCTGCTTCTCCAGCGCCGCGCGCAGCAGCGCCGCGAAGTAGCCGGGCGCCGCGCCCTCGCGCAGCTTGCGCGTGTGCAGGTCCACGCACCAGCGCCACACCTTGGAGCGGTGCTCGTGCGGCACGCCCGCGCGCACCAGCGCCTTCAGCTCCGGGGAGCGCACCATCTCCCGCGTCACGGTGCCCGCCAGGTAGTTCTCCCACTTGACGCCCGTGGACGCCTCCTGGGTCTCCGCCAGCGACAGGCCCCGCAGGTCCAGCGCCCGCACCCTGGCCACCAGCCGCTCCTCCTCGTCGTCCTCGGGCACCGTCCGGAACCCGTAGATGTCGTACTCGCTGAGGGAGGCAGGGGGCGCCAGTGAGCGGCCTGGACTCGGCGGAGAGGCCGGGGGGGGGAAGGGCCCGCCCGGCCTGTGTGGCTCAATGGGTAGAGCGTTGGCCTGCTGACCACAGGGTACCTACCGGGTTCGATTCCCGTCCTCCCCTCTCTCCCTCTTTCCTCCACTACCTCTAAAAAAATCAATGGAAAAATGTCCTCGGTGGAGGATTAAAAACAAGAGGCCTGGTCGGTGTGGCTCAGTGGATAGAGCGTTGGCCTGCGGGCCCTGGTTGGATTCCTGTGCAGGGCATGTACCCGGCTGCAGGCTCCTCACCAGGCTGGACCCTGGTCAACCCATTGATGTGTTTCTTTCACATCGATGTTTCTCTGTCTCCCCCCTCTCCCTTCCACTCTCTCTAAAAATCAATGGAAGAATGTCCTCGGTTGCTGAAACCAGTGTGGCTCAGTGGATAGAGCGCCGGCCTGCGGACTAAAGGGTCCCCGGTTCGATTCCGGTCAAGGGCATGGACCTTGGTTGCAGGCACATCCCCAGTGGGGGGCGTGCAAGAGGCAGCTGATGGATATTTCTCTCTCATCAATGTTTCCAACTCTATCCCTCTCCCTTCCTCTCTGTAAAAAAAATCAATAAAAGTATATATTTTTTAAAAAATGTCCTCAGTGGAGGATTAAAAAAAGAAAAAAGAGCCCTGACTGGTGTGGCTCAGAGGATAGAGCTTTGGCCGGCAGACCGAAGGGTCCCGGGTTCGATTCCAGTCAAGGGCGCATGCCCAGGTTGTGGGCTCCATCCCCAGTGGGGGACGTGCAAGAGGCAGCCGGTCCATGATTCCCTGTCATCACAGATGTTTCTCCCCCTCTCCCTTCCTCTCTGAAAGCAATACCAAATGTATTAAAAAAAAAAAATTAAAGAAAAGAGCCGAAACCGGTTTGGCTCAGCGGTAAATCATCAGTCTGTGGACTGAAAGGTCCCGGGTTCGATTCCGGTCAAGGGCATGTACCTTGGTTGCGGGCACATCCCCGGTGGGGGGTGTGCAAGAGGCAGCTGGTCGATGTTTCTCTCTCGTAGACGTTTCTAGCTCTCTCTCCCTCTCCCTTCCTCTCTGTAAAAAATCAATAATATATATATATATATATATATATATATATATGTATATAAATTAAAGAAAAGAGAAGGAAAAGACCATAAAGGGATGGTGGAGGTGAGCTCCAAGGTGGGGATGGGCTGGTCACGTGCCTCCGACGAGAGACAGGGTCCCGAGTGCTGCGCCCCTCACTGCCCCCGCCCTCTTTGCCCGCCCCCGGCCGCGGGCCCGGACCTGACGAGCCGTGGCTTCAGCAGCGCCTGCTCCGGCTGCTCGGGGCCCTCCACCTGCAGCGCGTCGGCCAGCAGCTGGGTGATGACCTCTCGGGCGGGGCCCTGCTCCTCGGCGCACACGGGCGTCTGCAGCTCTTGCAGGAGGATCAGGTACTTGCTCTCCACCTGGCACAGCTTGGCCTCCAGGCTGGCATACTGTGTGCAGGGAGAGGGGGTCACCACGGCAACCGGGAATGCCAGGCCCAGGCCGGGAGCCAGAGAGCTGATGGATGCCCCGGGCACCTGGCCCCTGAGCCTGGCCGCCGCGGGCCCCTCCCTCCCTCCCGGGCTGGCACGGCAGACGTCTGGATGCCACCCAGTGTCGCTGCCCGACAGCGAGCCAGGCCACATTCCGTGGAGAATGCCACGCCCGGTGCCCATGGGCGCACACAGGCCACGCGCCATGGACACCCTCTGAGGACAAGGGCCCGTGGCAGGCAGATCAAATACACCCCCGGCCCGGCTGGTGTGGCTCAGTGGATAGAGCGTCGGCCTGCGGACTGAGGGGTCCCAGGTTCGATTCCCGGTCAAGGGCACAGGCCCCGGGTTGCAGGCTTGATCCCCAGTGCAGAGTGTGCAGGAGGCAGCTGATCCATGATTCTCTCTCATCGTGGATGCTTCTCTCTCCTACTCTCCCTTCCTCCCTGAAATCAATTTTTTTTAAAAAATACATAAATCCCTAGCCGGTATTCCTCAGTGGATAGAGCGTCGGCCTTCGGACTGAAGGGTCCCAGGTTCGATTCCCGGTCAGGGCACAGGCCCGGGTTGCAGGCTCCATCGCTAGTAGGGGGACGTGCAGGAGGAAGCCGGTCCATGATTCTCTCAATCATGCATGTTTCTCTCTCTCCCTCTCCCTTCCTCTCTATAAAAAAATCAATAAAATATATATATATCTTTAAATGCATAAAAACCGGTTGCTCAGTGGTTAGAGCCCTGGACTCGATTCCCAGTCAAAGGGCAGGGACCTGGGTTGCAGTTCCTTTCCTGGCCCAGGCCGGGGCCTGTGTGGGAGGCAACCAATCAACGGGTCTCTCTCACATCCATGCTCCTCTCTCTCTCTCTTTCTCTCCCCCCCCCTCTCTCCTCCCTCCTCCCTCCTCCCCTCTCCCTGTACTACCAGGAAGTGAGCCAGAGAGACGCTAAAAAAAATACCCTTCCTCTCTCTCTACAAGAAAGCCACAGGAAAAACCCCCCCAGGGGAGGACAAACAGAAAAAGCCAACCACTGCTTTCCAAACCAGTCCATTCCTCCCTCCCTCGCTCCCTCCCTTCCTTTCTTTTAAAATATATTTTTATTGATTTCAGAGAGGAAGAGAGCGGGAGAGAGGAAGAGGAGAGGGAGAAAGAGGGAGGGAGGGAGGGAAATATCCATGAGGAGAGAGGATCATGGATCGGATGCCTCCTGCACACCTCACTGGGGATGGAGCCTGCAACCCGGGCATGTGCCCTGATTAGGAATTCGAACCCAGGACCCTTCAGTCCTCAAGCCAGCGCTCTACCCACTGAGCCACACCGGCCGGGGCCAAAGGAGTCCATTTCCAAATGGCTTCCAAGCTGCACCTCCCAACAGGGGAGGGGTGCCCCCCCCACCCCAACCTACCTTGGCCATCAGGTCCCTCTCCCTCCTCTCCGCATTTCTCCGTAGCGCTGACAGCTCCAAGATTTCCTTGTTGAGAAACTTGTTTTGGGTCTTGTACCCCTGCAGGTTATCCTGTTCGCAAAAGAGAAAAACACACACAAAAGCATCGATTCACATTGGGTGAACGCGGACTGATTGTGCTACACCGCGTGGCCAGATGATGATGATCTCTGAACCCATAATCATCTGGCCACTTAGTGCATGAATCCGTGCATGGGTGGGGGCCGGCCAGCCTGGCCAGGGGGAGGGGACATGGGCGGTTGGCCGGCCTGCCTGCTGGTCGAACTCCTGGTCGAGGAGACCATTTGCATATGAGCCTTTTATTCTATAGGATATACGCCGAGTGGCCAGATGATGATGAGTTCAGAGAGCATCATCATCTGGCCATTCGGTGTATATAGACTGATTTCAGAGAAGAAGGGAGAGGGAGAGAGACAGAATCACGGATCAGCTGCCTCCTGCACGCCCCCCCCCCACTGGGGATGGAGCCCGCCACCCGGGCCTGTGCCCTGACCGGGAATCACACTGTGCCCTCCTGGTCCCTGGGTGGATGCTCAGCCACGGAGCCACGCTGGCCAGGCTGTGCCACTCACATGCTGCTGCCTCACCCACAGCCCTGCCACAGTAGAGCGAGTCCTGAGGAACTGAAAGCAGATTACCAGGCGCTTTCCGGTTCATCTCTGGCCCTCTCCCCCTCGCCCCCTCGGGCAGCGAAGGCGGCAGGGCCCAGGCGCCGAGGAAGGAGACGGGGAGGGATTTACGTCACGTGGGGACTGTCCTGAACCGGCCACAGAGGGGCACCGTGGCCTCCGTGATGGCCTGGGAGGGGACGTCCTCGGCCAGGGAGTCAGGCGGGGAGAGAGCAGAAGCAATGGCAGCCTCGCCGAGGCCAGGGCCCGGGAGGAATGTGGGTGATCAGGCAGGGAGGTGAAGGGTTAGGGGTGATCAGGCAGGAAGGCAGAGTGGTTGGTGTGATCAGTCAGGCAGAGTGGTTAGGGGCTATTAGGCAGGCAGAGTGGTTAGGGGCAATCAGGCAGGCAGAGTGGTTAGGGGCAATCAGGCAAGCAGACTGGTTAGGGGTGATCAGGCAGGCAGAGTGGTTAGGGGCGATCAGGCAGGCAGAGTGGTTAGGGGCGATCAGGCAGGCAGGTGAACAGTTAGGGGCGATCAGGCAGGCAGAGTGGTTAGGGGCGATCAGGCAGGCAGGTGAACAGTTAGGGGTGATCAGGCAGGCAGAGTGGTTAGGGACGATCAGGCAGGCAGGTGAACAGTTAGGGGTGATCAGGCAGGCAGGTGAACAGTTAGGGGTGATCAGGCAGGCAGAGTGGTTAGGGGCGATCAGGCAGGCAGGTGAACAGTTAGGGGTGATCAGGCAGAGTGGTTAGGGGCGATCAGGCAGGCAGAGTGGGGTCCCTCACCTTCAGCCTGTCCAGCTCCTGCTGGTCCCGGCCGGCAGAGGGGGAGCCGGGCGGTGGGTCGGGGGAGGCGGCGCGGCCCTCGCCCTCGCTGAGCTGCTGCGACAGCTTGATGATGACCTCGTCCTTGGCCCGGATGGTCTCCATGAGCATGCCCAGCTGCTCGCTCAGCTCGCCCACCTTGGCCTTGAGCGTGCGCACCTCCTGCTGCAGGCTCTCCTTCTCCAGGCCCAGCCGGTCCAGCTGCCGGGTCAGGCCCAGGATCTGCTCGTCCTTCTGGTGCAGCAGCGCCAGCGTGTCCTGGGCGGCCCCGTCGCACAGCCGGCTGCCGGCGAAGTACTTGTCGTACTGCGAGGAGCGCACCGTCTGCTGCAGCAGCCGCACCAGCTCCTGCAGCCACGGGGGCGGGGGCGGGGGCAGACACGTGACACGTCCACGTGGAGCCACGCGGGAAGGAGAGAAAACGCGGAAACCTGACTCGGAAGTGTTTTTTTTTCCTCACCCGAGGATAATTTTACATAGGTTTTTATTTTTTACTAGAGGCCTGGTGCACAAAATTCGTGCACAGGAGGGGGGTTGTCCCTCAGCCCAGCCTGCACCCTCTTGTAATCCGGGACCCCTTGAGGGATGTCTGACTGCCAGTTTAGGCCCAATCCCTGCCTGATCACCCCTAACCACTCTGCCTTCCTGATCACCCCTAACCACTCTGCCTTCCTGATCACCCCTAACCACTCTGCCTGCCTGCCTGATCACCCCTAACCACTCTGCCTGCCTGACTGATCACCCCTAACCACTCTGCCTGCCTGATCACCCCTAACCACTCTGCCTGACTGATCACCCCTGACCACTCTGCCTGCCTGATCACCCCTAACCACTCTGCCTGCCTGCCTGATCACCCCTGACCACTCTGCCTAACTGATCACCCCTGACCACTCTGCCTAACTGATCAACCCTAACCACTCTGCCTGCCTGATCACCCCTAACCACTCTGCCTGCCTGACTGATCACCCCTAACCACTCTGCCTGCCTGCCTGCCTGATCACCCCTAACCACTCTGCCTGACTGATCACCCCTAACCACTCTGCCTGCCTGCCTGATCACCCCTAACCACTCTGCCTGACTGATCACCCCTAACCACTCTGCCTGCCTGCCTGATCACCCCTAACCACTCTGCCTGCCTGCCTGCCTGATCACCCCTAACCACTCTGCCTGACTGATCACCCCTAACCACTCTGCCTGCCTGCCTGATCACCCCTAACCACTCTGCCTGCCTGCCTGATCACCCCTAACCACTCTGCCTGCCTGCCTGATCACCCCTAACCACTCTGCCTGCCTGATCACCCCTAACCACTCTGCCTGCCTGCCTGATCACCCCTGACCACTCTGCCTAACTGATCACCCCTGACCACTCTGCCTGCCTGCCTGATCAACCCTAACCACTCTGCCTGCCTGATCACCCCTAACCACTCTGCCTGCCTGACTGATCACCCCTAACCACTCTGCCTGCCTGCCTGCCTGATCACCCCTAACCACTCTGCCTGCCTGCCTGATCACCCCTAACCACTCTGCCTGCCTGCCTGATCACCCCTAACCACTCTGCCTGACTGATCACCCCTAACCACTCTGCCTGCCTGCCTGATCACCCCTAACCACTCTGCCTGCCTGATCACCCCTAACCACTCTGCCTGCCTGCCTGCCTGATCACCCCTAACCACTCTGCCTGACTGATCACCCCTAACCACTCTGCCTGCCTGCCTGATCACCCCTAACCACTCTGCCTGCCTGCCTGATCACCCCTAACCACTCTGCCTGCCTGCCTGCCTGATCACCCCTAACCACTCTGCCTGACTGATCACCCCTAACCACTCTGCCTGCCTGCCTGATCACCCCTAACCACTCTGCCTGCCTGCCTGATCACCCCTAACCACTCTGCCTGCCTGCCTGATCACCCCTAACCACTCTGCCTGCCTGATCACCCCTAACCACTCTGCCTGCCTGCCTGATCACCCCTGACCACTCTGCCTAACTGATCACCCCTGACCACTCTGCCTAACTGATCAACCCTAACCACTCTGCCTGCCTGATCACCCCTAACCACTCTGCCTGCCTGACTGATCACCCCTAACCACTCTGCCTGCCTGCCTGCCTGATCACCCCTAACCACTCTGCCTGCCTGCCTGATCACCCCTAACCACTCTGCCTGCCTGCCTGATCACCCCTAACCACTCTGCCTGCCTGATCACCCCTAACCACTCTGCCTGCCTGCCTGATCACCCCTAACCACTCTGCCTGCCTGCCTGATCACCCCTAACCACTCTGCCTGCCTGCCTGCCTGATCACCCCTAACCACTCTGCCTGCCTGCCTGCCTGATCACCCCTAACCACTCTGCCTGACTGATCACCCCTAACCACTCTGCCTGCCTGCCTGATCACCCCTAACCACTCTGCCTGCCTGCCTGATCACCCCTAACCACTCTGCCTGCCTGCCTGATCACCCCTAACCACTCTGCCTGCCTGCCTGATCACCCCTAACCACTCTGCCTGCCTGCCTGATCACCCCTAACCACTCTGCCTGCCTGCCTGATCACCCCTAACCACTCTGCCTGCCTGCCTGATCACCCCTAACCACTCTGTCTGCCTGATCACCCCTAACCACTCTGCCTGCCTGATCACCCCTAACCACTCTGCCTGCCTGCCTGATCACCCATAGCCACCACAGCTTTGTCAGAAAGGATGTTTGGAAGGTCATTTGGCTGTCCGGTCTAATTAAGCATATTGTGCTTTTATTATTATAGATTTTATTTTTTTTAGGGCCTTCCAGTAAAAGCAGGGAGATCGATTGAACAAACTCAAAAAGAGCTGTAAGCACGTGCACTGATTTTTGAGAGAGAGCGAGAGAGAGAGTAGACAGAGAGACACATCGATGGGTTGCCACCGGGGCCTGGGCTGGGGAGGGGAGCCTGCCACCTAGACATGTGCCCTTGACGGAATCGAACCCGGGACCCTTCGGTCTGCAGGCCGACGCTCTACCCACTGAGCCACACCGGCCAGGGCCCTGGAAACAATTCAACACCGAACTTCCTCTGGGAGGATCTCAAAGATAAAGAGGAGACAGAACCGCGAAGAGGGGGCCCAGAGGACACGGACAGGAAACAGGAAGCCGCGGCACACTCGCCGTGACCAGCGGCGGTTCCGGTGAGCTGGCCGGGCTGTGTGAGCGCCGATAGGCACAGCGGCCGCCTTGGCGATTAGGGTCGCTACGGGGCGGATTAGCCGAGAACAACGTCTGCTGAATAGGACGCGGGAAGTCCTTCTAGAAACATATGCACGTTGTTTGTTTACTGGCGTCGGAGAGGAAGGGCGAAGGAGAGACAGAACACCCATGGTGACCACCCTGACCCCGTGGTCGGCAAACTGCGGCTCTCGAGGCACATGCGGCTCTTTGGCCCCTTGGGTTTTTAGCAGAGGCCAGCTTAGGAGCGCCCTCGTTAAGTCAATAACCATGTACCTGCCCATATAGTTTAAGTTTAAAAATGAGGCTCTCAAAAGAAACCTTAGTCGTTGCACTGTTGAGATTTGGCTCTGTGGACTCATGGGTTCGCCGACCACTGACCTAACCGGTGTGGCTTAGTGGATAGTGTATCCGACCTGTGGACTGAAGGGTCCCGGGTTCGATTCTGGTCAAGGGCACGTACCTTGGTCCAGGGGGCGTGCAGGAGGCAGCTGATGGATGTTTCTCTCTCATCTGATGTTTCTAACTCTCTATCCTTCCCCCTTCATCTCTATAAAAGAAAAAAAGAAAGAAAAAAAAATATTTTTTTTTTTTAAAGAAAAAAGAAACATCTATGAGGAGAGAGAATCCTGGACCGGCTGCCTCCTGCATGCCCCACATTGGGGATAGAGCCCGCCACCTGGGCCTGGGCCCTGACCGGGAATCAAACCCTGATCTCCTGGTTCCTAGGTCGACCACTGAGCCACACTGGCCGGCCAGGACTCAGTCTTTGAACTGCTCAGGACTCTGGGCTGAAGCTGGCAGTGAGCGCAGACGTGGGGGGAGTGAGTGAGGGCAGACACCCCTCCCCTGAGCCCCCCGGGGCCTGCACTCGGCTGGAAACTCACGTGTCTGAACCGGGCTGGGCCCAGGGCTGGGCCTCAGGCCTCGGCCCCTGCATCGCCCACTGAGGAGGCAGGGCCTGCGATGTGGCCGGAGAGGCGGGAGAGGAAGAGGAGGAGGAGGGGGAGGAGGGGGAGGGGAGGAGGAGGAGGAGGGGGGAGGAAGGGGAGGGGGAGGAGATGGGGAGAGGGGGAGGGGGAGGAGGAAGAGGAGGAGGGGGAAGAGGGGAGGGGGAGGAGGAAGAGAAGGAGGGGGAGGAGGGGGAGGGGGAGGAGGGGGAGGAGGGGGAGGAGGGGAGGGGGAGGAGGGGAGGGGGAGGAGGGGGAGGGGGGGAGGGGGGAGGGGGGAAGGGGAGGAGGGGGAGGAGGAGGGGGGGAGGAGGAGTAGGAGGAGGAAAAGGAGGGAGGTGGAGGAGGAGAAGGAGGAGGAGAAGGAGGAGGGGGAGGAGGAGGAGGAGATGGAGGAGGGAGGAGATGGAGGAGGGGGAGGAGATGGAGAAGGAGGAGATGGAGGGGAGGGGGGAGGAGGAGAAGGAGGAGGAGGAGGAGGAGTTGGGGAGGAGAGGGCAGAGGGGGGGTGGAGGAGGAGGAGTTGGGGGAGGAGAGGGCGGAGAGGGAGAGGGAGGGGGAGGAGGAGCAGGAGTTGGAGGAGGAGGAGGAGGAGGAGGAGGAGATGGAGGAGGAGGAGAAGGAGGAGGAGGACGAGGAGTTGGGGGAGGAGGAGGAGAAGGAGGAGATGGATGGGGAGGGAGGAGATGGAGGAGGGGAGATGGAGGAGGGGGAGATGAGGAGGAGGAGGAGGAGGAGGAGGGGGAGGAGGAGGAGGAGGAGTTGGGGGAGGAGAGGGCGGAGGGGGAGGGGGGAGGGGGAGAACGGGGAGGACGAGGAGGAGGAGGAGAAGGGGGAGATGGAGGGGAGGGGGAGGAGAGGGGGAGGGGGAGGGGAGGAGGAGGAGGAGGAAGAGAAGGAGGGGAGGAGGGGGGAGGGGGAGGAGGAGGAGGAGGAGGAGGAGAGGGAGGAGGAGGAGGAGGAGGAGTTGGGGGAGGAGAGGGCGGAGAGGGAGGGGGGGAGAACGGGGAGGACGGGGAGGAGGAGGTGGGGGAGGAGAGGGCAGAGAGGGAGGTGGGGGAGAACGGGGAGGACGAGGAGGAGTTGGGGGAGGAGAGGGCGGAGAGGGAGGGGGAGGGGAGGAGGAAGAGGAGGAGGAGTTGGGGGAGGAGAGGGTGGAGAGGGAGGGGGGGGAGGACGGGGAGGACGGGGAGGAGGAGATGGGGGAGGAGAGGGCGGAGGGGGGGGGAGAACGGGGAGGACGGGGAGGAGGAGTTGGGGGAGGAGAGGGCTGAGAGGGAGGGGGAGGGGAGGAGGAGGAGGAGATGGAGGAGGAGAGGGCGGAGAGGGAGGGGGGAGGACGGGGAGGAGGAGTTGGGGGAGGAGAGGGCGGAGAGGGAGGGGGGGAGGACGGGGAGGACGGGGAGGAGGGGCGTCACCTTCTGGCTGGACAGCTCCTTGCGCAGCTGCTGCAGCTCCTCCTGCTGGCTCTGCACCTGCTGCTGCCAGTCCGGGTCCGAGGCCCGGCTGGTGCCCCCCGCGCCCGGCGCCCCCTCGGGGGCCGGGTCCCCGCTGCTGTGGCGGCTCTTGTACGACCCGATCATGTCCCTCAGGGGGCGCCTGCCTTTGTAGGGGACACGGCCCAGGTCGAAGAGGAACCCCGAGCCGGCACTGCCTGCAGGGACACAGGACGGGTGTGGGGAGGCGGGAAACCCGGCCTCTGGCTGTCACTCCCTCTGAGGAATCCGCCCTCCCCACCCCCCCACCCCCAGCTGCCTCTGTCCTTCCCGCTGGCGGCGGCGGACACTTCCTGACGAGGCCACGCGCAGGGACTGCACTCGGCTGGATTGCTCAACCTCGGCCTGCCCGCCCCAACGGGTGCATGACACAGTGGCCGGGAAAACCGAGCGGAGCTTCCAGAATCTCCTCGGAAGCTCCGTGCTGCCCTGTGTTCCTGTAACCGTCCTTCGCCGGGCAGGGGGAGACTGACGAGAACGGACGCAGGCCCGGGAGGACGGGGCAGGGGAGGGAGGGGGTGTCTCCAGGGCCCACGGCACCCTGGGAGCACGGGGTCCCCTCCACCAGGGCACCCCACGAAGCCGGACAGGGACCGTGATGGTCGACAGCCGCATTGCAGCACCTTGTTTATACACCCCTACTGCCGCCCTAGACACCCTTTGTCACTTGCCCTTCGTCAAAAAGATACAAAAAAAAAAAAATATATATATATATATTCCAAATGTATGCAGATGTTGTAAACACACATCTTGTTTTTTTCATTTTAAACTACAGGCCGTGTGCACGAAATACATGCACTTGTGGGGGGTCCCTTAGCCTGGCCTGCACCCTCTCACAGTCCGGAAGCCGTTGGGGGATGTCTGACTGACAGCTTAGGCCCGTCCACCTAAGTCCCAGCCAGACATCCTTAGAGCTGTGCTTATCAGCCGTGAGCCCGGCTCTGGGCTTCTAACTGAGCGCCTGCCCCCTGGTGGTCAGTGCGTGTCATAGCGACCAGTCCTTCAGCTGTTAGGTGGATTTGCACATTAGCCTTTTATTATATAGGATATATTTTTGTTGATGTCAGAGAGGAAGGGAGAGGGAGAGAGAGAGAAACATCCATGATGACAGAGAATCATGGGTCGGCTGCCTCCTGCGCGCCCCACACTGGGGATGGAGCCTGCACCCCGGGCGTGCGCCCTGACCGGGAATCGAACCCGGGACCCTTCCATCCGCAGGCTGATGCTCTATCCACGAAAGGGTACGGAGGGACCCAAATACATTTTCGTGTAGATGGACTCAAATATGCATTTGAAACGCAAAGGGAGACACACAGAGTCAGAGCTATACAGATTTCATTCACTGAAGTCAGAACACGGCAAGACGAACCCGGACTGTGTGTGTGGGGTGGGGGCGGGCGTGGGGGCGGGGCCTGTGGCCTCGACCGAAGGGCCGAGGGAGGCAGACGTTGAGGGAACAGTGGGGAAATGAGATTGTGTCCCAGAGTTACTATCACTGTCCTCAGACACTGCAATGAAGCTGTAATTAACATTTTTTGGGGAACCCGGCCAGCGTGGTGCAGCGGTTGAGCATTGACCTAGGAACAGGGAGGTTTAGGGTTCGATTCCCGGTCGGGGCACATGCCCAGGTTGCAGGCTCCATCCCCAGCAGGGGGCGTGCAGGAGGCAGCCGATCCGTGATTCTCTCTCCTCATGGATGTTTCTTTTTCTCTCCCCTTCTCTCTTTCTCTCTGAAATCAATAAAAATATTATTTTTAAAAAATAAAAAAGATCCTAGCTGGTGTTGCTCGGTGGATAAAGCATCAGTCAGCCTGCGGACGGATGGGTCCCGGGTTCGATTCTGGTCAGGGCATACTCCTGGATTGTGAGTTCGATCCCCCGTGTGGGACGTGCAGGGGGGGGCAGCCGATCCATGATTCTCTCTCCTCATGGATGCTTCCCTCTCTCTCTCCCTGCCTCTCTGACATCAATAAAAATACGTTTTAAAAATAAAAATAAAACAAGAAGTGAAGAGAATGCAGACTCCCTGCTGGGCAGGCTCCCGCACGCTGTGGCCGGCGGCAGTGGGGGGAGCGGGGACCCCGAGTCCCTCGTACCTCTGCCTCCCTCCGGCGCCTGCCTCCGCCGCTCCTCCTGCGACGCCGACTCCTCCAGGTCCTTGGGGCTAGGGTCCAGCAGCTCCCACTCCTCGTGTGTGTAGAACACGCTCTTCCGGCTGTCCTGGCCCCTTCCCGGCCGGAAGGAGGACATGGAATTCCTACGGGGGGGAACGAAGTGTGTGGGTTTTTTAAAAAAAATATTTGCTTTCACTTTAAATAATATATATTTTATTGATTTTTCACAGACAGGAAGGGAGAGGGATAGAGAGCTAGAAACATCGATGAGAGAGAAACATCGACCAGCTGCCTCCTGCACGCCCTTCATCGGGGATGTGCTCGCAACCAAGGTACATGCCCTTGACCAGAATCGAACCCGGGACCCTTCAGTCTGCAGGCCGACGCTCTACCACTGAGCCAAACCGGTTTCGGCATCCCTTCCTCTCTTTTTTAAGTCCATTAAAGAAAAAAAGAAAAAAAGCCCTAACTGGCTTCGTTCAGTGGGTAGAGCGTCGGCCTGCGGACTGAAGGGTCCCGGGTTCGATTCCGGTCAAGGGCATGTATATACCTTGGTTGTGGGAACATCCCCAGTGGGGGGTGTGCAGGAAGCAGCTGATGGATGTTTCTCTCTCATCCATGTCTCTAACTCTCCCTCTCCCTTCCCGCCTGTGAAAAATCAATAGAATATATATTTTTTTAAAGAATATTTATAGCCGAGACCGGTTTGGCTCAGTGGATGGAGCGTCGGCCTACGGACTGGGGGGGGTCCCAGGTTCCATTCCGGTCGAGGGCATGTACGTTGGTTGCGGGCACATTCCCGGTGGGGGGTGTGCAGGAGGCAGCTGGTCGATGTTTCTCTCTCATGGATGTCTCTAACGCTCCCTCTCCCTTCCTGCTGTAAAAAAAAAATCAATACAATATGTATTTTTAAAAAGAATATTTATAGAAGACAAAACCCCCAGCACCCAGGGAGGCAAGAACGCTCGCTCCTGGTCATCCCGGAGAACAATGACCCGGCTGCGAGCAGAGGAGGAGACAGAACAGCCGCTAGAACCAGACCCAGGAGTGACGGGTGACAGCATTCTGACGGGAAATCACCCCGTGCTGTCTGTCACACGGGATCGCTTTTGGGGTCCTCGGCGAATGCCCCCTTCCCCCCACCCCCCCGCCCCCGGGCCTCACCTGAGCTCGGCGCCCCACTGCCTCAGAGAGAAGTTGATGGAGTTGGGGGGCCCCGGGGCGGGCTGGCTGGCGGCCTGCTCCCCCACCAGCTCTCCGGGGGCCGCGTCCGCGGCGAGGACGGTCCGGGCTTTCTCGGCGGAGGCGTTGGGGTGCGGGTACAGGAAGTCTGGGGGAGAGGCGGGCAGAGGGGGGCGGCTCAGAGCGGCCCCAGGGACCCGGGCCGACCCCCACGGAGCGCGGGCCGGTGCCCTCCGCAGACACCGGCGCTGTACGCCGGGCGGCGAGGCTTCGTCGGAGACGGTGCAAACACATCCGGTGGCTTCCGTGTTCTGCCACCGTTTTGACCTAAAGGAGATCATTGAGCCCCGGATGGTGTGGCTCAGTGGGTAGAGTGTCTACCTGCGGACTGAAGGGTCTCGGGTTCGATTCCGGTCAAGGGCATGGACCTTGGTTGCGGGCACATCCCCGGTGGGGGGTGTGCAGGAAGGAGGCAGCTGGTCGATGTTTCTCTCTCATCGATGTTTCTAACTCTCTCTCTCTCCCCCATCCTCTCTGTAAAAAAAAAAAAAAAAAAAAATCAATAAAATATATTTTAAAAAATAAATAAAAAGATAAAAATGAAGTAGATCATCATGCCCAGGCCAGTGTTGCTCAGTGGATAGAGCATCAGCCTGTGGACCTAAGGATCCCGGGTTCGATTCTGGTCAAGGGCACATGCCCAGATTGTAGGCTCGATCCCAGGCCCCAGTTGGGTGTGTGTAGGAGGCAACCAATTCGTGTGTCCCTCTCACATGGATGTTTCTCTCTGTCTCTCCCCATCCCTTCCACTCTCCATAAAAATCAATGGAAAAATATCCTCAGGCCCAGCCGGGCGTGACTCAGCGGTTGTGCACTGACTCAGGAACCAGGAGGTCAGGGTTCAATTACCGGTCGGGGCACATGCCCGGGGTTGCAGGCTCCATCCCCATTAAGGGGCGAGTGCCCTTGACTGGAATCGAACCCAGGACCCTTCAGTCCGCAGGCCGATGCTCTATCCAGTGAGCCACACCAGCCAGGCTCCATTGATTTTTAGGAAGCGTGGAAGGGAGAGGGAAAGACAGAGAGAAACACCTCGAATGGTGGCCTCCTGCACATGCCCTGACAAGGGCCCAGGTGGGGGATGAGCCTGCCATCGAGGTGCATGCCCTTGACCAGAATCAAACCCTTCAAATCACAGGCCGACGCTCTACCCATTGAGCCACACCGGCCAGGCCTTTGGATGGAGCCCCGAGCCCTGGTGGTGGGGACGACGGCCCAGTTAGCTGAGCTCCGGGCTGGGGCAGGGCACACCCCTCCAAGCGGAGCCAGGAAGCTGCCTCGGGACCTGGGGGGCCGCGTGCAGCCCCCCCTTCCTGTGTGGGCTGGCGGCGGCAGGCTCTGTGGGGGAAGACAAAACCCCAAGGTTACGAGGAAACCCGGGGCCTTGCTGCAACGCCGGGAGCTTCCTGGGGAAGTGGCCGGGGCGGGGGCGGGGCGCGGAGCCGCCCGGAGGCCGGAGGGGGGCAGCGGCCAGCCAGCTTCTCCTCAATGCGCTTGTGTGACGGGAAAGGGGAGCCGTGTCCAGGCCGTGCAGCACCGGTACTCCGCCTGGTTCTCGGCCTGTTTGTGAGGGTTACGTAAGGGTCCACACGGGGACAGCCGTGGTCGGGGGACCGCCTGCCTCAGGACAGACGGACGGACGGGCACACAGAAGTCCCAGGATCCCGAGTCTTTATCTCCCGGCGCCCGCAGAGGAGTTTGCTGTGACACCTACTCTGTTCCTTTTTTCAATAAATATATTTTTACTAGTGGCCCGGTGCATGAAATTTGTGTGGGGGGTGGGGGGAGGGAGAGGAGAGGGGTTCCCTCAGCCCAACCTGCCCCTCTCCAATCCAATCCAGGATCTCTTGGGGGGTGTCTGACTGCCAGTTTAGGCCCTAAATTGGCAGTCGGACATCCCTCTCTCAATCCTGGACCGCTGGCTCCTAATCGCTCACCTGCCTGCCGGCCCCATCGCCCCTCACTGCCTCTGTGTGCTGGCCTGATCGCCCCTAACTGGCCCCCCTGCTGGCCAAGTCACCCTTAACTGCCCCTCACTGCCGGTCTGGTCACCCCTAACTGCCCCCCCACAAGCCTGGTCACCCCTGACTGTCCCCCCACCATCCTGGTTGCCCCTAACTGCCCCCCTTCTGGCCTGGTTGCCCCATGCAGCCTGCTGTTCCGTCATTTGGTCATCCCTCACTAAGCCCCCTGCTGGCCTGATCGTAGGCAGCCACCTTGTGAGGGCATGAGGGTTCATTTGCATATCACCTCTTTGTTATATAGGATTTTTATTGATTTCAGAGAGGGAGGGAGAGGGAGATAGAAACATCCATGAGGAGAGAGAATCATGGGTCGGCTGCTTCCTGCACGCCCCACGTGGGGGATGGAGCCCGCCACCTGGACCTGGGACTGACCGGGAATCGAACCCTGGCTCCTAGGTGGACGCTCAACCCCCGAGCCCAGCCGGCCGGGCCAGTTTCATTATTCGTTCTTAGCAGCGATCTAGAGCTGGTGGACGTCCAGCCCTGTGGACACACGCAGCTTCAGACACGCCGCTGCTCTCAGGACCAAGTCCCAAGTCCCAAACCCTGAGCCAAGGCTCCCTCAGCCGCAGCCGCTGAGCCTCAGGCTGGCACCCCCTGCTCCCCGCCAGCCGAGGCCCCGCCTCTCCGCCCGCCCCGGCCGGCTCCTGCTCCCCTCCAGGCCTCAGCGTGGCTGCCCCTCGCCGCCCCCATCGCACCAGCTCACACCTCTCCACGCCCGCCCACGGGAAACGCCGTGGAGGGAGAGGGCGCTCACAGGGGCCTGGCTGCTGAGCGGACGAGCCAACGTCAGAGCCACAAACGCCAAACTGCCACGCGGAGGCAGCCACGTGGGCTTCGGTGTCTCCTCGGCTCCAGGCCACAGCGTTTGGCTTCCAAGAAGGAAGGACCGCCCGGCCAGCGTGGACCAGGGGCTGAGCATCGACCTGTGAACCAGGAGGTCAGGGTTCGATTCCCAGTCAGGACACAGGACGGGATTGCGGGCTTGATTCCCAGTGGGGGGCGTGCAGGAGGCAGCCGATCCGTGATTCTCTCTCCTCATTGATGTTTCTCTCTCTCTCTCTCTCTTTCCTCTCTGACATCAATAGATATATTTTTTATTTCTTATTTTTTTAAGTATATTTTTATTGATTTCATAGAGGAAGGGAGAGGGAGAGCGAGAGATAGAAACATCCACGATGAAGAGAAAATCATGGATTGTCTGCCTCTTGCACACCCCCCACTGGACATGTGTCCTTGACTGGAATAGAACCCAGGACCCTTCAGTCTGCAGGCAGAGGCTCTATCCATTGAGCCACACCAGCCAGGGCAAGAATATATATTTAAAACACACACGCATACACACACACACACACACACACACACACACACGTCTCTTAGAAACATGCCTGGGTCACGGGCAGGGTCTTTGCGAAACCTCCCCCGTGTCTACACACCTGTGTGAACTCTGACCCCTCTGCCCAGCCCACAGGACGTGAGTTCTGTGCCTGCAGAGGGACGGAGGTCCAGGCTGGCCCGGGAGCCGCTCGGGGTCCCCTCCAGCACACGCCCCACCTGCCGACTCGGCTGTGTCCCCTGCAGGTGCTGGGCCCTGACCTTGCCCGACCCCCAAGGTCATTCCGGGCCCGCACCGGGAAGGCACTCACCTGGGGCGCCCCTGGCCACGAGGCCCTGGGAGCCGTCCCCCGGGGTGGGCGAGGTGCGGCCGGCCCCCTGGACCATGTCCAGGCCGTTGCAGTACTCCCAGCGCTTCTGCTGCAGCTCCTGCAGCCAGTAGGTCATCAGCTGGCGGTTGGGAGCCTGGGGGAGGGGAGAGAGGACAGGGTTATGGCGGCCGCGCAGGCTCAGAGCCGCGTGTTTCCTGCAAGGACGGCGGGGAGGAATGGGGCCAAGTAATGTCCATTTCTTTTTTTTTTTCTTTTTAAATATATTTCGTTGATTTTTTACAGAGAGGAAGAGAAAGGGATAGAGTTAGAAACATCGATGAGAGAGAATCATTGACCAGCTGCCTCTTGCACCCCCCCCCACTGGGGACGTGCCAGCAACCAAGGTACGTGCCCTTGACCGGAATCGAACCTGGGACCTTTCAGTTTGCAGGCCGACGCTCTATCCACTGAGCCACACCAGTCTAGGCTGCAACGTCCATTTCAAGGCCTACAGTGGGGGACACGCTTCGCAGTGAGAACAGCAGCAGCAGCCCGGCTGGCGGGGTTGAGGGGCTGACCTCCACGTAGGAATCAGGAGGTCAGGGTTCGATTCCCCATCAGGGCACAGGCTCCATCCCCAGGGTGGGGCATGCAGGAGGCAGCCGGTCCATGATTCTCTTTCATCATGGATGTTCCTCTCCCTCTCTCTCTCTCCCTCTTCCTCTCTGAAATCAATAAAGATATATTTATATTAAAACAACTAAACCCCACCATGACCCGCCCAGCACATGTGAATATTGAGTGCATGTGCAAAAGAAGCCGGATCCGCCCTGGCCGGTGTGGCTCAGTGGATAGAGTGTCGGGCTGCGAACTGAAAGGTCCCGGGTTCCATTCCAGTCAAAGGCACACGCTTGGATTGCTGATTCGCTCCCTCATGGGGGGGGGGGGCGCGTGCAGGAGGCAGTCGATCCATGATTCTCTCTCCTCATGGATGTTTCTCTTTCCCTCTTCCTTCCTCTCTGGCATCAATAAAAAAAAAAAATATTTAAAAAGAAAGAAGCCGAATCCAATATGCTATATGATTCCTTGCCTGTGACATTTTAAAAATTATTTTTTAAAAATGTTTTCATTGGCCGGGACCGGTGTGGCTCAATGGATAGAGCGTCGGCCTGGGGACTGAAGGGTCCCGGGTTTGATTCCGGTCAAGGGCATGCACCTTGGTTGCGGGCACATCCCCGGTGGGAGGCATGCAGGAGGCGTCTGATGGATGTTTCTCTCTCATCGATGTTTCTCACTCTCTATCCCTCTCCCTTCCTCTCTGTAAAAAAATCAATAAAATATGTTTAAAAAAAAAACACCCACATATGTATATATATTTAAAGGGCTCACTTTTTCCTTTAAAAATAAAATAAAGAGCCGAGACCGGTTTGGCTCAATGGATAGAGTGTCGGCTTGGGGACTGAAGGGTCCCGGGTTCGATTCCGGTCAAGGGCATGTACCTTGGTTGTGGGCATATCCCCGGTAGGGGGTGTGCAAGAGGCAGCTGATCGATGACTCTCATCGATGTTTCTAACTCTCTACCTCTCTCCCTTCCTCTCTGTACAAAATCAATAAAATATATTAAAAAAATAAATAAAGAGCATGTCCCGGGGGGAGGGGCCCCGAGCTGGGCGGGCACAGCTGTCCTATCAGACCTCTGCATGCCCAGGGCCCGCCCACAGGACCAGAGCCAGGCCACCCACTGCGGCAGCTACGGAGGAATCCAGCAGGACAGCTGGCTGACCCCATGGGGCCCAGCTGCTCCCCCGGGCCTTTGTCCCACACCCAGGAGCCCCCCGGGCAGACAGGCTCGGCCACCTGTCCCGTCCTGTGGACCCCAGGCACCTCCTTCCCTCCACACCCAGCTCTCTCCTCGAAAAGGTCCCAGGATCCGGTCCTCAGAGCCCGGCCCGTGTGGCTCAGTGGTTGGAGCATCGACCTATGACCCCGGAGGTCAGGGTGCGATTCCCGGGTCAGGGCACGTGATGAGAGAGGGTCATGGATCGGCTGCCTCCTGCACGCCCCACACTGGGAATGGAACCCGCAACCCGGGCCTGTGCCCGGACCGGGAATCGAACCCTGACCTCCTGGTTCCTAGGTGGACGCCAAACCACGGAGCCACGCTGGCCAGGCGGTATCTCTCTTCTTATCCCTGGCCACCAAGTCCTGTGTGTCCCGTGCTTATAACACTTGGAGCTCACGGGGCCAAGCCACTGTACGTGGAGCTCTGGCCCACCCCACCCCACCCCCGTGGGCCCAGAGCCTGGCCCTCACACGGCAGCACACAGAACCGCTCTCCCTGACCCCTGCTCCGACGGCACTAACACTCACCGGCAAACTCCTATGCGATCCTCAAGACCCAGTTCAAAAATCCCTTCTGAGCCCTGGCTGCTGTGGCTCAGTGGATAGAGCGCTGGCCTGCAGATTGATGGGTTCTGGGTTCAATTCCGGCCAACAGCACAGGCCCGGGTTGCGAGCCCGTTCCCCAGTAGGGGGCATGCAGGAGACAGCCAATCCATGATTTTTTCTCATCCTGGATGTTACTTTTTCTTTTTTAAATATATTTTATTGATTTTTTTACAGAGAGGAAGGGAGAGAGATAGAGAGCCAGAAAGGTCGATGAGAGAGAATCACTGATCAGCCGCCTCCTGCACGCCCCCCACCGGGGATGTGCCCGCAACCAATGTACATGCCCTTGACCGGAATTGAACCCGGGACCCTTCAGTCCGCAGGCCGACGCTCTACCCACTGAGCCACACCGGGTTTCGGCGTCTTTTTCTTTAAAAAAATATATATATATATATTTTATTGATTTTTTTACAGAGCAGAAGGGAGAGGGATAGAGAGTTAGAACCATCGATCAGCTGCCTCCTGCACAGCCCCCACTGGGGAATGTGCCCGCAACCAAGGTCCATGCCCTTGACCGGAATCGAACCCGGGACCCTTCAGTCCGCAGGACGACGCTCTATCCACTGAGCCACACTGGTCAGGGCTCATAATGGATGTTTCTATCTCTCTTTCCCTCTCCCTTCCTCTCTGAAATCAACAAAAATATAGATTTTTTTTTTTAAATCACCTTCATTTTTAAAAAGGGAAAAGAACAAAAATCCCATCCGAGTGTTCAAAGAGGCCGCCCGGTCACCCCGCACATACGACACGTGATGACACAGCTGCTCGGCCTCCGCTTAGCGTGTGAGCTCTGGGCTCCTCCCCAGCGGGTCACGGCACAGGTCAGGGCTCCCACATTTACAAGCCGGACCACCAGGAAGGAGTCCCTGTCCCAGTGGGGGGTGGGGGTGGGGGAGTCTGACCCCCGGGGGAAGCCCGTGACCCCACCGGCCCCCCGGGATGGAGGGAGGCTCCCTGGGCTTCCGAGCTGGGTCTTAGGCCATTCTCCCCAGAAGCCACCTGATAATCCAGGACGAGACTCAGATAAAGAAAGCAGACCGGCCCTGGCTGTGTAGCTCAGTGGCTAGAGCCTCAGCCTGCGGACTGAAGGGTCCCGGGTTCGATTCCGGTCAAGGGCATGTGCCTTGGTTGCGGGCACAGCCCAAGTGGGGGGCGTGCAGGAGGCAGCTGGTCGGTTTCTCTCTCATCGATGTTTCTGGCTCTCTCTCTCCCCCTCCCTTCCTCTCTGTAAAAAAAAAAAATCAATGAAATACGTTTTTAGGAAAAGCAGGCCGCCACGCCAAACTGAAAACAGCCCTCAGCTCTGGATTCTCTTCGTTTCCACATCATCACGAGCCTCCAGACGCCCTCCGGGGACCTGGCCCGGAGCCAGGGGGAAAACAAAACAAAACCGACTTTCCCCCGATGGCTCTGAAATCCTGGGTCAGCCCGGGGCCCGGGGCTGGGCCTGGAGAGAGGGAGCGGCAGGGGTCCCTGTGGGACCATTCCTCCAGACACCGTCCGTCCTACCTTTTTATTTTTCTAATGGTGTATTTTATTGATTTTTACAGAGAAGAGGGGAGAGGGAGATGAGTTAGAAACATCGATGAGAGAGAAACACCCATCAGCTGCCTCCAGCACGCCCCCCGCTAGGGATGTGCTTGCAATCGAGGCACATGCCCTTGGCTGGAATCGAACCCGGGACCCCTCAGTTTGCAGGTCGACGCGCTATCCACTGAGCTACACCGGCCAGGACCGTCCTATCTTTTTAAACCACAGTCTTCACAGCAGCACACACACAGAGCTCATTAAGTAATCGCAGCTCGTTAAATAATACAAATTGGAATTCAGAATTCCAAGCTAAACCCCGCCCGGCTTTCGTGGCCGACCTTCCACCTATGATCCAGAAGGTCGTGGTTCAATTCCCAGGGGGGAACTCCATCCCCCATGTGGGGCGTGCAGGAGGCAGGCGATCCATGATTCTCTCTCCTCCTTGATGTTTCTATCCTCTTTCTTTCTCTGCCCCCCTCTCCCTTCCTCTCTGAAATCAATAAATATATATTTAAAAAAGAAAAGAGCCGAAAACGGTGTGGCTCAGTGGATAGAGCGTCGGCCTGGGGACTGAGAGGTCCCGGGTTCGATCCTGGTCAAGGGCATGGGCCGTAGTTGCGGGCACATCCCCAGTGCGGGAGGCAGCTGATGGATGTTTCTCTCTCGTCGATGTTTCTAGCTCTCTATCCCTCTCCCTTCCTCTCTGTAAAAAAAAACAATAAAATATAGATTTTCTTAAACATCAATAAAATATATTTAAAAAAGAAAAGCTGAAACCTCGATGGAAAAGCCCTGCCTCGGCCCCATGGCCGGCTCACAGCTCTGTTAGCGTTAAGGATGCAGTGAGGTCAGCAGCTCGGGGTGAGGACGGGGAGGAGGGATCCCGCCCACAGATCAGATGTAAGCCATGTTCTGGGAGACAGGCTGGGAGGGCCTGGCCCCCCGGGGGCAGCCACTTGGGGGGGGCAGCACAGCCTCCACCCAGACACACGCGGTCAAGGTCAAGGTCACCCCGGGTCGCTCTCCCTGTGGTAAGGGGAACTGACCACAGGCCTCAGTGTCAGAAGGAGCAGCCACGTGGCTGCCCGATGACCACAGGCCAATGGCCACGGCTCTGCCCACAGGGCCCTCGCACAGTGAGCATCGAGGTCAGCAATGCCCGGCACCCACGGCCAG